TCAAAATCCTAACCTAAGAACAGCGGTGAAAATTTTGCCATTCAATTGACTCCTTATAAGTAATTTTGAAATCTGTTGATGAAAACATATAAAGTGTGTATGTGCAGGTATTGTAACCAGTACTGAAAAGGCAACGGAAACTAGGGCATGTAGCTGCTCTTGCTGTTCATGAGTTACATCACTGTAAACTTATCTTCTTACTTTGCATACTACTTAATAATTTTGGCGTTTGTGTGTGTGTGGAACAAACAGTGCTTTCTGATGAAGTTTCTGTCATTTCAGTGAGCGTTTTCATGGTTTACTTAGCGACTGTGTAGAATGTGATCCTGTTGTGGCTGCTTTGAATATCTGATTAACAGGTAGAGACTCAGCGTATTTTATGCAAGTAACTTTGAGTTACTTTTTATAATAGTGTCATTAGTTTGCCTCATCCTGTGCTGCTATTACAAAGTGTTGTGCTTTGATTTATGCAGATGGTTGGCAGTCTTTTCTTTTCCTAAATAATAGGCAGCACAAAACAAAACAAGCAAAACTCATGTAACAGAAAATGGCGTGAACTTTACAAATCAGAGCAGTTTAATTTCTAAAATATTTTCTAATATTCCAGTCAACTATTAAACTATGATATTTCACCCAGGCTGTTTTGAAGCAATGAATCAACCAGGTGACTGCTGTAAAAATGTTCTCTTCCTTCTTTTACTACCCAGGTGCATGCCTCTTGTTCTGCTTCCCCATTCTTCCTCTCTGTCCTGGCCTAATCCTTCAGCATTTGTTTGATTTGAAAAATCTCTCAAGAGTGTTGTTGCTTCCTCAGCAGACTTTGTATTTGCTCCTCTCCTGCTACTTTGTCCTCTGACTTGCCCTATCTTCACAGCTATCTTTCTTGATTCACTGTCTGGAGCATATTGCCCTCTAGCACTTTTACCCAGCAGAAGTCACTCAGCAAGTTATGTCTGGGTGTTGGCTGAACATAAGGAAGACAACCAGAAAAGACCTCTAACAGCAACGTAGTTGCACATAGTTCTGGGATATTAGAAAAGGAACTGGATTTTAAAGGAACTGGATTTTAAATACTTGCATCTCTGTCTAGTTCTTGCACTTACAAAAGAGACAAAAAAAAGTAAAAAAGATTCAGTTGGTTTTGGGGCATTCTGTGTAGTCTAGGTACAGCTTCACAAACCTAGAGGGTCAGGAGAGAATCCCTGACAGTTAACGTATTCACCATCTCCTGAAGGAGAAAATTATGGCACTGAAAGCTTTAGTTAAAGTCCAGAACAAGCCACTGAAGTATGTGGTTTGAAATCCTGACCACCAGGTGTAGAGTTGATCCAGCCAAGATATACTGCAGCCTGGAACAGCAAGTTTCCATAGGCAGTAGCAGGTTCATGAGCTGCTATGTCTCCTCTCATTAGTGTGCCAAAGCCATTGCAGTTTTTGCCAAATTTCATGTAATGGAAAACATTCTCTCATGGCTACACAAAGGTTGTCTGTCAGATTATGTACAATCCTAAATATCCACTGGTCAGATTATGTGACTAATATATCTGTTATAGAACAAGCAGCAGTCACAAGCATTGAGGCCATGTTGCTGAGAACACAGCTGCGTTGGGCAGGGCACGTCTCAGGGATGAAGGACCACTGCCTCCCTAAGATCTTGCTTTATGGTGAACCTGCCACCGGCTGCCGCATGAGAGGAGCCCCGAAGAAAAGATACAAGGACTCCCTGAAACAACATCTCAGCCTTTGCCATATTGATCACCATAACTGGTCTACTCTGGCCTCCAATTGGGAGGTCTGGAGACACGCCATCTATAACGCTGCTGATGCCTTTGAGAACGCACACAGGATCACTCTTGAGGAGAAAAGACAACGCAGAAAGAATCGTGCCTTGCAGAATATACCACCTAAGGAGTCTTTCTGCTGTGCCTTTTGCAACCGGACGTGTCTATCTCGTATTGGCCTTATTAGCCACCAACGCGCTTGTAACAAACGTGGGTAGTGCTCTCCTCAAATCTTCGTTCGCGAAGCCCAGCCATGACAGCCATGGTGGTCACTTCAAGCCTGACAACCCAGGTAAGACCTTGCTCCCTCTTCCCTCCTCTTGCTCATGGAAGCTTTGCAGTAGATGTCTCATTTTCCAAATTTGCTTCTGAAGTCTCTCTGCTCTATAGCCAGTACTTCCAACAGCCTTTTCTCTCCTTTCTTGATCAGGAAAATCTCCAGAAGTCTTTAGGAATGACCACAGCTTATCCTAAATCATTGCAGTTCATGGTTCTGAATGTCCTTGAAAGTAGGTTTCTCTGGGCACCTAAAGGAAATTACCTACTTGGAAAATAAGTTATTCACTCATAGCTTCCCTGGGTGCACCTGCCCTCAGAGAAGAATACTTCGGTGGTTCATACCATGCCCACTTTTCCTCCCTGTACCTACAGGGGACAGGTATGGCCTTTTGCCACATCTCCAAGGTTATGTGGGAAAATCAGGACAGAAGACTGCAAGCCTTTAAGCCCCAAGGGTCCGCATGTATCTATATGTATCGTATGGTTTAGAGGGTGCCTAGAACTAGGGATGGCTCATGGCTCCAAATCAAGACCACTCGTTCTTGAGAACCTCTCTCCAACCAGCTTGAAAAGTCTCATTTCACAAAAGTAAATTATACCCAGATTTGTTGGTCTCAAAAGGGAACTAGGAGGAACGGACTAAAAAAAGCCCATCCACCCTCCCACCCTCCCCGTGGCCGCGTTACTGTGTGGCTTGACTCCCTGGCAGCTGAACACAAGATTGCATTGTGCCTCAGATTGGAGGTGAAAACCATTCATTTCCAGCGTCTCTTCTATTTCCCTTCTTCATCCCATCCTTGCATTTTTAATAAATACAGTTGAAGAATTATCATAAAAGAAAACTTGATTTTTTTCCTATAGGCAAATTCTTTTATTTCTCTAACTGAATTTCAGGTAAATTTGGTGGCAGCAGCTTGAACCAGTTATCCTTGCATCTGTGCTTCCCATAAAACATGCATACATCTGTGACAATTTTTTCTTGGTGTTTGCCATGAATTTTACATGAGGGAAGATGAGGTTAAGAGCATTTTCCTTCATAATGATAGGTTGTATTTTCAAATTGCATAATATTTCTATTTTTAGATATAAATCAAAATTGTTTCCAGAATCCCTGAGGCCTGTACTTCATACTTCCACTGAAAATGAGCCTCATACAAGCCCTTCTCCTTTTCTTGCAGAAAAGCATGCAGAGGACTGACAAAGTAGGCAGAAAAAAAAAACAAAAATACCATAAATAAAATTGTCCCCAGAGAAGGTAATAATAAGAAAAAAATTCCCTGTAGTAGCAACAGGGACTCTCAGTAATTCCATATTTCATTTCATTGTCAGCAAGATAATTCACATCCATTTTAATACATGAATATTAACATTGGTCAAAAAAAAATCCATTTTTAGGCTACACAATTGCAATTCGTAAGACTGCAGCTTAGAATGGGACTTTACGAATCTGTGTCATTACTAAATTTAGCTTCTTACCAGCAACTTGTAGAAACAGACTTTCCTTATCTGCAAACTTCTTTACATGCATAAAGAATATGTTTTTCTGTGCAATAACCAGGCAAATTGGCACACGCACTAATATGCACAGAGACAGCAGGCTCTGCTGTGGCTGCTACTCATCCTCCCAATTTGTTTTCTCCTGCATGTGCCACCACTGAGCACCTGGAATCCAAGCAGAGAGAAAGGGGATTTGATGGCACATTCTTCTTTCCGGAGTTAGACTTCGCACTTCAGATAAGTGGGACTATGGAAGTGCAGATATGACCATAGAGCAAAATTGATATCTGGCTGCAGAGTGAATTGGAGTTACTGTACCACAGATTATTGCAGGATGTTTTAAAAGCCTGCTTTTGTGCTGACCTGTTTCTCAGACAAGGTCTTCAGCCCTACTTTTGCTATATTTAGATGTCACTTTCCCTTACATTGTTATATGTAATAAACCATTTATTCTCCAGAGAATACAGAGAACATTTTAGGAAAAAAAGTTTCAAAAATCTACAACTCTACATAAAAACCAAAGTAAGAACCACACAACATTTTGGAGAGGTTAGTGGCATAGCACTGGCATATTTAGGGTTTTCTTGTGCAGACAGCATAATGTATCAAATGCAGCTGGTTTACTTCAGTTTGCATAATCAACTTTCAGTATTCATGACATTAAATATACTAGAGGCAGGTAAAGCATGTCATGTCTGGCCAAATGTGCTTTTTAATTTTTATGTCTTTGAAGCTATAGCCTGCTGTCATTAAATAGCTTGAGCAGTATATGTAAAACTGAACTGCTTGCTACTTCAGCTAATTGAATGAGAGTCCTCTGTGAAATGTCATCCACAGCAACAGCTCCAGTGTTGCTCAAATTAGAGTGCTATGGACAAATCTGACTGCCCACTTTATTTAACACTTGGCTGCATGGAAGTACAGTTTATTAGATATTTTTAAGGATCAGAGGTTCTTATGTGCAAAAAGCAGTATCTAAGAAAGCCCACAGGATCAGGGCTGGCCAAGGAATGCTACTTTCAAGACAAATGGAGTGACTCTTCCTGTTGTTTTTGATACCACAGTGTAGAGAAGTAGACAAATAGCCTACCTTGCTGTATGTTCTTTTATTTGATGACTCAGCAAAGAGTGTTAATTTTCTAAGGATTTCCCCCCTTGCCAGGGAAAGATGGAAAGCATCTCAACCGTCTTCCCATAGTTCACACATTTCAGCATTTGGCACAGAAGAGGAATTTACACATAGACGGTCTTCCTGGTGCTTCTTATTTACCCAGTGTGCTACACAGAACAGAGGAAGACCTGCAATATCAAGTCACAGACCTTGATGAATCTGGCCCAAACTTTTATTATTAGTTTCCTTGAGGCACCATACAATGATTTTCTTTCTGATACACAAGTCCTTAGAGTTCCTCTACTACTGGATAAAATGACTAAGACAAATACTAAGGGAAGAAAATTAGCTTTATTTATGTAAATTAGAAAAAGTAATTGTTAGAACTTTGGTCAAATGGTTAATTCTGTACAATTTACAATTATATTTATATACAAAACTTCTAATAAAATACAGTACATCACACTCTTCCTGAGTCACAGTGTGTTTCTCAGTTCCGTAAATAATTTTTTCTTCTTTCTTTTAAAGCAATTAGATTCAAGAAGGAAATAGTATCCTCAGTTTGATAGATAGTGTTTGGTTTAGTTAATACTGGTATTAAGAAGGAAGTCAAAATACTCTATAGCCTTTGCAATTTTGATAGTTATCTTTCTATATTAAAATATGTTCCTTGATAAAAATGTTAATTATATACTCCTTACTATCAGTTTGTTGCACTTTATTTATAGACACAGGACAAAGTGACTTCAAATATGTCCATCTCTCATTGCAGAGATACGTAAATTTCTGTGAGTTCCATGTATATATAACCGATCATTTACAGATCAGGAAACATACATCCAGATAGAGCAGAGGTCTGAATTGAGGCACAGTATGTTAAAATTGCTGTCCTACCCTGGACAGGATATGTAAGCTCCAACTGCCTGGCTCACCTAATAGAAACTTAACACAAGTACACATCCTGAAAAGTGAGACCATGTTGAGAAGCAAGGCACCAAGCCTGCCAATCCTTACATAGTCCCACTCTGGAAAGCACTACAGAGTCCTTCATGAAGAAGCATCATAGAGCTGTGTTTCACTGTTACATCTTGTACAGCTCAAGACATTAGGATTAAAGCTCTTCATACTACCTGTACTGAGTTGAATTTTCTGAGATCAGCAATAAACTATTGTAAGGCTTAAAAGGATACTTAACCTGTTTAATTAATGATGCAGTCTGTTAAATTAGTCATTTGCATAGATTACAATCTGTAAGTAAATTTATGCCCCAGTTAAATCCAAAAACCACTTAAGGTAACTTCTTTTTGACAAATATTGCTTTGAAATAAAATTAATTTTACTTAATGGCTAAGTGTGGGCTTCTCCTAAATATACCTATGGTAAAGTTCGCTATACTTTTTTTAATATAGACATGTGCATTTCTGGTATTTTAGTCCAAAATAATAAAAAATACAGATTTGATGACCTCTGATTTATTCACAGTATTTAGAGATGTTTAAGAAGTCTTAGACTAACAGAAAGCTACCTAGAGATTTCATTTCTCTTAAAAACTTTCTGAAATACTTCAGCACAAACTCAAATACTTAAGATCAACTCATAACGATTCTACTTTGATTAGAAATTAAAAGGGACGTTTTTTGCTGCTGATATCAAAATGTGTAAGAAGACAATATAAAGCTTTAAAGAAAATTGGTCTTTAGCTGAATGCTTGAACTTTTCCCAGGATTCTTTGCATGTTTAGCAGTCTTCACTTTGATGCTTTCTTGATTGCCTTTCACAGCTGACTCAAGCCTGGCTTTCATAGTTGGAGAGGAGGCCATTAGTTTTTTAAAAACTGATGAGTACTGTGGACCAATCTGCATCAGATTTTGCAAAGCAAACTCATGTAGACTTTTTGCTGAATTTGTAGCAGAAACCAGGGCATTTTCATCCAAAAGAAAGGAAATAAGGATGGGAAGAAAGCAGGCCACCAAATGAGCACCTACAACATTGAAAACACAACTTCAGCATACACTTTTTAAAAATAGTTTCAAATTAAAACTAGAAGTATTTCTCTAGGTTAACATTTAACTCAAACTATAAAGCTGCAAATGTTAGCTGAACTGTAGGGTAAAAAGAACCAACATTTACTGTGAGCAATTTTGTTAGCAATTAGTGTTCAGGATTGGATTCCTAGTGGTCGTTTTGGTTTAGTTTGTTACTTATGGTAACTTTGAGCATATTTAATGCTTTGGGCACTAGTAATGGAAATAACTTACGGTGCTCTTCCTCAGCAGTAGCTGTCAGAGCTGTAACCACCTTTATTCCCTCCTGAATGACTTGAAGTTCAGCAGCATTTTCAGGTTTTGCTTTTTCTGTTTCCTGCAGTTTTCCCACAATGGATGGTGCTAAAGAATGAATATAAGGATATGACACGGTTTTGTTTGGATGCTGAAAGACGGAGTGCAGCAGCTGGTAGCACTTGTACTGTACCTAAAGGGAAAATGAAATTTGCAGTTACAAAGCATTGTACTTAAAAATACATCTCTGAGTATTTTAAATCTAACAGCTTGTCAGATAAAATTTTAGGGAGGGGGAAAAATGTGCCTCACAGCTCAAAAATCCATCAGGTTTCAGGCTGCTACTGTATAATACTTTATAAGAGCATTATAACTTGTAATCAAAATAATAATAGAAACTAGATCATACTTCCTTTTTCTTTCCACCAAGTCTTACATATTCTGACATTTTTGAGTTATGGAAAAAATACTTTTTTTGTATGAGGATAAGTACTGTTTTGAAAATACTCTCCTTTTTGCAAAAATACAGCTGACTGAAAAGAGGTGCTTAAAATGTAAGCAATATCCCTGTCAAACTGTAGACACAATTTTAAAATGCCTCAGATTGTCCAATAGCTTGCATTCATTGGAAGTCAACAGGACTGCAACCACCAAGTTCCTACACAATTTCTGAAGGGTTCAGATGCTTAAATACTTGGATAAAATTTGAAAATGCATACTGACATTTCCTTGCAGTCATATTTGGCATCCCCAGTTTCCTAACAGTGGAAACTGACATTTACAATATTAGAAATGTATTGATCTATAAAAAAGTACTGTCTTACAGCTATTTCTCAAGTAAAGGTAACTTTATTTAATTTTTTATTACGATACAAATATATACAGAGAAGATGCAAGAAAAACAGTTTACAATGAATTCTCACAAAGATGAAATCTAATGCATGTTATTTTCAGAGCTGAACTTTGAGAGTGAAGAAGTCCCAACACCTAAAAAAGCCATTTGTATAAATACTTTTTTCCGTGATACATTGGGTTTTTTAGGTGAAGAATAGTAATATATGAACGGTGGCACTACAGTCTAAAGCCACTACATGAAAATATTTATACTAGGTTGGAACAAAGCATTAATCTAGTTCAGTAGGCTGCATCCAGCAGTGGCCAAGAGCTGATGCTTATGGGACAGTAACAGTTATGTAGTGGCACTTGCTACAGCTCCCAAAGACTCACACCTGAGTGATTTCCTGTGCAAAAGATAGTATCTGTGTGTTGAAGATAAAATGAACAAATAAAATTAAACAGGTGCCTGAAACACTACACAACTGTATTTTGTACTTATCAATGTATAAAGTGCTGCATCCAATGCAACAAAACCCAAAAAGAATCATAGGAATACAGAATTGCATACAGAATAAAAAATGATTAAATGCATGGCTGGACATGTTTTTGATCACTTGTTCAAACTGTAATTTAAAATAGAACAGATATAGTCAGGAGAGAATTAACTTCAATCAATACCCAGGACTAGTGACACAACTAAAAGTCATTAAATACAGTTCTGGTATTCTATAACTTCACCAGTACTTACAAGAGGATCTTTTGAATCAAGTGTTATTTTAAACTTCTCAATACAACGCTTCTGAAGGCACTCTACAGTAGTAACTTCTGGGCTGGTAGACATAACAAATACTGTAATAGCAGTAAGCAGGCTAACTTCATCGAGTTCTTGGAGTTCTTTATCTATCAATAAAGTAAGAAGGTTAGATTTGCATTAAAAAGTAATCTTATGAGTTAAAGTGTTACATAGAGGTGGAACAGAAATACCAATGTCTACATTTCTTTAAGAACCTCTTTTTTCAAATACACAATGTACTGTGATGCAGTGATATGGACTTTTCCTGTAATAAAAGCCAAGGCCAAAATGGGAATTCAGGGGTGCTTATATGCATATTTAGAAATAACAGCATGCTCCTATTCCAATGTTTCTTTATATAAAGTAAAATAAATATCTTTGAAGAGCTGGTAGGACATATTAAGATTACAATCTTTTTTGAGAGTATATAAAATTTGCATTAACATATATTCTTTTTCTATAACTTAAAAAACCATCTCTGTAAAGAAAAGTTCCAATGACAAATTACACCTTAGAGAGTAAACATAAGGAATGATAAAAATACTACAAATTCAGGAAGTTGAAGCAGCAGCACACAGTAAATTTACTTTAAGACAAAAAAAGTTTTTCTTGCACTACTGCTTTAAATACCCTTTGTTTTACTACAGGCATTAACTCTCTGTTGAGAAGCTGCAAGCAGGACAGCTGTCTTTTATGCTCAACCGTATGCTGAGGCCACAACTTCTGTTCAGGCCATTGTACCATGTAACTACATTGTGGCACTACCTAACACAGGAGTAGGCCTGCAAACCCACTGTCCTGGTTTCAGCTAGGATAGAGTTAATTTCTTCTCAGTAGCTGTTACAGTGCTGTGTTTTGGATTAGGAATGAAAATGGTGTTGATAACACACCGATGTTTTGGGTTTTTGCTAAGTCATGTTTATCCTAAGTCAAGGACTTTTTTTCTTGTCTCATGCTGTGCCTGTGAGGGGGTACAGGAAGAAACTGTGAGGGAGCACAACTGGGACAGGTGGCTTGAACTGACCAAAGGACTATTCTGCACTATTGAACGTCAAGCCCAGTGTATAAACTAGGGGGAGTTACCGGGAAGAGGTGCTGATCTGGGTTCAGAAAGGGGGGTCGGGCATTAGTCAGCAGGTGGTGAGCAACTGCCTTGTGCATCCCTTGTTTTTCCCTTTTTATTAGGATTATTATTGTAGTTTACCATTATTGCTGTATTTTACTTTATTTTCAATTATTAAACTGTTTATCTCAACATGCAAGTTTTACTTTGATTCTCCTCCCCGTTCCTCCAGGGTGGGGACAGGGTGGGCAGAGGGAGGGTTGAGCGAGCAGCTGCTGGTGCTTAATTTCCAGCTGGGCTTAAACCATGACACCCTCATTTGTACTTTATAGATGATGACTTCTCATATGAACTGTAGGGACAAGATTGCACTATAGTTTCAACAGTACTTGGTATTTCTTCGCACATTCTTCTGTGACTAACATACTATTTTTTTTTAACATGTGCATAAATTGAATCTAAATAAAACCAAATAACCTTTCAGACAGTTTTTCTTTTGTTTTTAAATACACAAACCCGATATTTGTGCTTACCTTGATCCCAACAGTCAAGTACTGAGACCAAAGCACTACGCAGAAGATCAGTCCAAGCAGTCCTACTCTTCTCTGCTCGAGACATTGGAGAAGACAAGAGTCCTTTAAGAGCTTGTAGAGATGCAGCAACCACCAGAGGTAACTGGCCATCTCGTGATTTCACAGCAGTTTCTTTAAGTACTCCAATAATTAGGTACAAAATAGTAGGAAGAACTGAAACGCTTCCTGTAAAACAATGCAAATTAATTTCACAGGAGTTAAAACAATGCAGGTACTTTTTTACATTAAAAAAACTTGAGGCAGTTTTCTTGAATTCTCTTTTTTACTTATTATTTATAATTTTTAAGCACCTGTATTAATGGAGGAACCAGCAATTTGAAGAAAATATTTGAAATAATGTGTGACCTGCTACAGCAAACAGGGAGTCAGACTGCTTAAGTGAAGTCAAACCTTTCCCCCTTTTAAATTAGCACTGTAGATCTTTTATGGATGATTTTATTATATGAAGCATGGAATTATGTCCTGTTCAGAGAAAAGCAAGAACAGAAAGATCAGAACCACTGAGGAGGTTGTTCTCATAGAAGAGAAGGTATGGAAGTATATGAAGTATAGTAGCATATATGGTACATACTAGTATATGCAGTAGTATGTATAGTAGTATATTCTTTGTATATAATAGGATATACAAAGAATAGCAGAAAACAAAATATAAGCATCCAAGTCTATTTTGCAGTGAAGACAATAAAGTGAAGGAAATTAACAGAGGGTAATTTCAAAACTGGTAAAAGGAAATACTTCTCCCACATGATGCATGGTTAGCTAAGGATGTCACTGCTCCAGAAAATCAGTAAAGTCGAGAATTTAGTAAGAGTAATTAAAAGAGGATATGTGTAAATAAATATGTGTAAAAAAAAATCCTAGAATTACGATAAAAACCTCTAAAATATTTTGGAAAAGAGGAGATCTAGAGAGAGAAGCAGATTGTCCCATAGGCTACTGAAGAGACCTTCATCTCTAACAATCTGATAATTGACCTGTCAGAATGACGGACCATTAACAAATATTAAAAATAAAACACAGAAGAAACCTGGCATAGCAGTTTAACTTATTTTTACATCTTGGAACCTAATAGTAATATAGAATTCTGCCCATATTGGAGACAACCTAGCAACCTGCATACTTATGTGTTACTCCTATCTCAGGTTCTGACCCAGCAAAGCACAAAGTTAAGCATATGGCATAATATATTTATCTCCTTCCCTAATCAGCAAAATGCTTATGCTTTTAAGATTTTAATATACTGATGTTCATGAGAGACCTGTTGAATAATCAAGGTCTCTGACATATGCACAAGTATTTTCTGAAGCTGAGGACATCTACCTTCTATTTTTAAACAACCAAGTCTTTCAAAATTGACTGTTGGAATTCAGTAGGAAATGTTGTTCATGAGCATCATTTACTTGCATATTTTATTATGCATACCTATCATGACAGCCTGAAGTAAGAGACATGGTAGTCACAGGACTATAACTTCAATTACCTATTAAAGGGGAAAAAATGATGCAATTCCACATAGGAATTCTCTTCTATTTGATTATATGAGCTGACTTTTGGAGTCGCTTCCTTATTCAAGTGACTGTATAAGCAAGCTTAAGCTCCTCTTTTCAGTCACCAGAACAAAATGCTTAAGTCCTTTAGTGTAAACATCTCATATGGTTTGATACTGCAAGCTGTTAGTTTGTGGAATGACATGAATGCCTAAAGACAAAAAAGAACAACAGCCACCGAAAAAAATCACAGATTATTTTTCACACAAGATAGTTGTCCTCAGTTTTAAGTGATGCTATGTTTATTTGCATTTGCTTTGAACTAATAAATAATGGGCTGCAGAGGGAAAAAAGAAAGCATATCATCACCTTACAATGATAGCAAGAGTGCCATTTGGAGAATGATATTCCCCAAAGAAGAATCTTTTAGCAGAGAACAAAATTAAGAGAAAAGAAGACATTTTCAGAGCTGGTAAATACCAAAGATTTGCATAAGGTGTACACAGATACCTGAGGTGGGAATAGAAGAGTAGGGTAGAAATGGTTTATATGTGTGGCTGTAACAGCACTGGAAGATCATATGTACGAATATGATATTGGAGGTTGGTGGTGGGGAACCATCTTAAAGTTTGGAGTGAATTCAAAATGAATCACTCCACTTTCACTGGGTGAAAGTCAACTAATCTGAGAATTCAACCGTAACTCCTTACAGTGGTTTCTTAATGTTCCAATGATGGCTTTTAGTGAAAGGTAACATGACACATTTCCCTTTCAAATTTAATTTATGTCTCCATTATAAATTCCAGAATAGACAATTCAAGTAGAATATAATCACGTAGCTGTTGTATACTTCCCTGTACAAAACGAATCTATTAATTGCACTGCTACATGTGGGAGGAAGAGAAAAACTACTCATTTAATTGCTTCAGTTTTGTAATCTGACAGTCAAAAAATAATTAGAAAAGGAAATTGTCACAAGCAAATCAATAAAACTTGCTGCCAGATTTATCCAGCTAAGAAAATTAGGTAATAACAAAGGGAGAGAAGACCCCACTACTCTTTCATTAATCTTTCCTTGTGGTGAAACAGCATACCTTCAGGAGAACAGATTGCAGGAACATCAGAGAGAATAACTAATGCTGCTGCTACCAGTCTACTTCCATCTTCTGAGAGTAACAGATGTTTTCCAGGTTGAACTGCAGGGCTACAAGTTAATTTAGGGTTGAGCTGGGGAAGCTGTCTGACAAGAATACAAACACACAACTCCAGTGTTGCAAAGACTAATGATTTCCCAGGCACCAGTCCTCCTGTGTCTTTGCCTTCTCCAAATTCTGGCAACGTTTCCTTTTCTGCAGCACCATCATCAACTAAAACAAGAAGAAGAAATATGGCAGAAGTCTGCAGGCTGTGCCTTGTTTCCAGAAAGTTTACTTCTTAAGACTGTTTCATCACCAAATCATAATCTTGATGTATATATATGTACATGAGTATGTATTCAAAGTTCTACTGGCAATCATACATCCTTCTGAATAAGTAGACTACGCAGTGATTGTCAAAAGGCAAAAGGGTGTGCAATAGATATACAACATCCCGAGGCACCAAACCAATATGAAGTCACCTGATACAAGTGCTTTTCTTCTTCTCCCAGTCTTTTCCTTTTAGAAAGTGAACATTAGGAAGTTACAATCAGAGTAACTTTGGAGTCTAGCTTTTAACAGCTGTGTGGAGTCTCTCCATTGCTCTGTTGCAACTGATTGCAGCTTTTCATTAGAACTCCTCCCTCCAACTGATTGCAGCTTTTCATTAAAACTCCTCCCTCCCTGACACCACACAAGACTATCCCAACTACACTTTCTCCAGTTTTCCACCTCACTTCCTCTGTTCAACACCCAAACCACCTGCTATCTATCATACCACTCCAATTTCTTATGTCAGGCACCGGGACTGACTTAAATAAATCAGAATTAGTAACCCACTGTGAAACACTTCAATTAAGATGCATCTTGGAATCCAGTTTTCCAAGAAAGAATTGCTTTAATCCTGATAATAGGTATTTAAACATCTCACACATTACTGTACCTTCTGCACTTCTCCGCTTTTCCTTCACATGTTCCTGAGCTGCAAAAAGAATCAAGCGAACCACTTCAAGGGCAGCAAGCTGAATATCAGGTGATTCTCTGGTCAGTATCAGTCGATGCAAAACATTCAGCAGCTCCACACCTAACTCCTACAGTAAGAAAAACATTTAATATATCTTAATTTTAATGCAGGAGTTTTAGGAACTTGTTAATACTTGTTAAAGCCAACAGTATTATTCTGATTAATCTCCCTAAGGAACACAATGTAATTTGTACAATCATAGCAGTTGTCATTTTCTTCAACATCCAGCTCGTAGCTCCTGGTAGCAGCAGTTCTGATCATTTCTCCCAACAAAATAGTAAACATAGCCATTTCAGAGACAGGGCACTTAAAATTACTAAACCCACCCCCCCTTAAGTAATCTTTATCTTATGTCATCTTCACTCTTGAAGGGGGGGATACTATATTGTATCCCTCCTACAGTAAATGCATTTCCTTGGAGAGACCATCAACAATCAGCAGAATTTGGGCATGTCTTTGATTTTTACAACAGAATTAATTCAACTGTGCCTTGAGAGCTCTCTTTCCCGGAATTCTGTCTTTACCCGGTTCTCATCCTACTCATGTAATTACCCCTCCCTGACAAAATGTCCTCAAGTTCCCTGCCTCTCACCTGTCTTCTTACAGGTTCCATGATGTGCTCTTTTTCTCTCCTCCCTCTACAGCTTTGGATTTTGGTAAAGTATATAATTTACCTACTACTTATATGTTCAAGATTCCTGGAATACAATAGAGTGTAGAGATACTGTTTAAACTAAAATTATGCCTTAATTCTGGGGGACATTAGATCATTAATTCATTACCTGATCACCACCTATTTTAGACCTTGGCCATGGAACATCAAAGAGTGTCTGTAGGGCATGCAAGCAGGCAATAATATTCTCCATTGCTGCATCCGATCGAGGAGAGCAGAGGAATTCCACACTAATTCCTGTAAGCATCAGAAGAAACAACCCATATGTGCTCAAAATTTTAAGGAATAATTTTGTCCATTACTAAGTAACCTTACAGTAGGTTGAGCAGCCATAGAAATAGCATTTTATATTGTGAATTCATCTCCTATTGCTAATATCTTGGGGCAAGAACTCTATTTCCATCAAAACAAAGAATTTCAGCTTCTAAACAATATAAGATACAACTATAACTGGTTACTAACATAAAGAAATAAAACCCCAGCAATATCTGAGAAAAACACTAAACTATAGGTCCAATGAACAGACAACATAATTAATAATGAGAATATAGCAGAATATTTGCCTCATCGCTCTGATTTATGTAATAGAAAGAAATAATGGCAAAAGTAATAATAGTGCATAAACTCAAAGGCTGAGGCTTTATCTTCCCATTTTACAAAAATGCAACTACCACAACTAGATCACTAGCACTAAGTAAATTACATGAACCCTAAGCTTGCAAATCCTAGAGAAGATAAAACTATTTTTTTCCTCAGCTTTCAGGACTCCTCAAGACTTTGGAGACAAGCTTCATATAAACTGCAATCCATATTCTCATCCCAGTTGTACAGCTGTAATTCCAAAATGTGTGATGACTTGGGGAATGGATCAACATACACTGAAGAACAGCTGTGCAACAGAAAATGCCCGAGTTTTAAAGTTCTTTCAGTTTCTCTGTAGGAGTGAAAATGAACAACTGGAATATGGTCAAAAGTAGAATAAACAAGCCAGATGTTCATGTTAAAGTAGGTGAAATTTGAAGCACTAAGTAGTAGAGGAAGCAGGGGAAACGGGCAGCTTTTGTATCAGAGGTCCCACTTTTAACTGAGGGAGCAATGGAGTTCCAAAGGAATCTGGCTCTCTGTAGAAAAACTGGGATTCAAAAGAAGACATATGCAACTGGGTCACACAAACCCATTCTGAAAAGGGATTACAAAAGAAGGATACAAAAGAGAGATCAAAGAAAAAAATATAATCACAAATGTCTAATTGTATAAATTTGGAGAACTGGGACTGAATTCAACTACCTGATTAGCTTCTGCAGTAGCAGAGTCTTAAGAGAGCTTTATGTGAATGTAAGGAAACACTTTTTTACTGTTTTGGTGACTAAGCACTGGCACAGGTTACACAGAGAGATCGAATCTCTATCCACAAAGATATACAAAAGCTGTCTGGACACAGTCCTGAGCAACTGGCTTTAGGTGAACAGCTTGAGCAGAAGGTCGGCAAGATGACCTCTACAAATCCCTTCCAATCTACATCCTCTTCTGTGATGTAAAACTGTACTTCAGTAATGTTAATCCATACACTCTGTAATTACAGTGGTACAACCACGGTAAAATTCACCCTTGAACTTGCATGTTTATGGGCAGAGCAATAAACACTTGTTTAGGGCTTGTTTGGCTAACAATGAGTGGGTTTTGTACCACATTTGGAAAACACTTAACAATTTTCTCACTAGGACTTAAAATTCTTCTGATTGTATATTTTTCCAAGAGACAGGATATTCAACGATGCAGTATAATGTGAAAATATTTGCTAGCAGTTTTATCTAGTAAGAATTACATTTTGAGATACAGCACATAGACACTCACTAACCCAAGATAAGATGAAATCTGTCAGTATTCACATCCTCAGGTGACTTCACCAAGGGTCTGGTAGAAGAATCTTGACACATGGTAGTTGGGGTGACAGGTCGAGAGAGATTTGTAACTCCTTCATCTGGATCCACGACAACGAAACCCGTGCTAGTCAGCCATAATGCTGTAGCATAAAGTATCAGTGCCCAGGAGTTGTAGTAATGAGGTCTGGCATTTTCAATTGTCTCTGCTGTATAAAATGTACCACCTACAAGAAAAGAAGTTAGTTTTAAGGATGTAATTTATTTTCAACTATCATATTTTCTCATTCTTAAAAGAGGATTCTTTTTTTTATTGAAATTGTGTTTATAATGTATTGTGAAACTACGGAAAAAAATTTAAATTATGTTTATCATGTATTTTATGTATAACTTTTTCTTTTAATGTTCAATATTAAAATTCAGGCTAATGAGGGAACCTAATTTATATTTATTTGGAAAAAATCCAATAAATCACCTACTTCTTTTTTCCACCATAAAATAACCCAACAAACAAGAATACCAAAAACTACTTTTCACATCAGTGAAATCTATGTTCTCAAAAGCACTCCTGATCTTTAGATAGCACATAAGCATGCTTAAGTAAAATTTAATCTTACTTACAAGTCAGTATACTGACAAGTGGCTTATGAAAATACAACTGATTTGCTTTTTTACCTTCAGCAGGTAGTTGTGATGCATATTCTGAAGGCAAAGTTAAGAGAGCAAAATCCTGAAGTGCAGCAAGCCAGAGCTTGCTTAGCGTTCCAAGATCTGCCTGTACCAAGTCCAGAAGTCCACTGGCTGAAAATGTTACATCTCTGTAGCTTTCTTCTGCAGAGTTTGCAATTTTTAAACAGTGATTGTGTGCATCAGTTTGATTTTTCTGCTTTTGAACTGCAACTATGTAAACCTGTTGATATATAGATATTGACAAGCGTTGACATTTGGAAAAAACTACTGTGATCACTAACACCACTGCCCGCTGAATGGACATGAGGTTTCCTAGAATCTATTCCTGCTTTAAGTCCAGCAGGCAGAGGTGAACAAGCACTTATTTTCTAAACCTTCTGAATCAATTCCCCAGCTAATCATAATGCAAGTGTCTCCAAAAAAGGAAAAACTACTAAAATTCCTAAACACACCTGCAGTTAACTTCCCTGCTCTTAAAAAATAATACTTTACTTGTCCAGCTTCTGGTTTCAACCATCAAACCCTGTTATAGCTATGGCTACAACACTGAAGAACTTATCAAATAATATACCTATAATCATGATCCGGAAACAATAGTCAAACCATTCCTAAAACTTCTTTTAACTGAAATGACATATTGCACTTGCAACTGACTTCTCAAAATTATTTATTACTCTGTGTTAGCAGTAAAGAATGAAGAGTACAGTCCTGCATACTTGAAGTGCCAGGGCCTGAGACAGGCCAAAATTGACTTACAGATGAATCCTGTACTGTCCCTACTTGATAAAGGAAAATGGGCAAACCTTGTACACAGATCAGTTAGATTGCTTGTGCTAAGTATGAACTTTATACATGGATTAGCTAAACTGCTTATGCTAAGCATTATTTTGTCAAACCATATATTTGAGACATCTTTTGCTAAATCTTGTCTGTTAAACTGGATGGTTAAGAAATTGTAGTATGCTCTTGTGACTGCTTGTTAGATATTTTAGAGACCTTTCGGAACCTCGCCCAAACTAGACCTGGGCTCTGGACAAGCCCTGGTCTCAGGTGGTCAAGAAGACTGTCACCAGGTGTTTCTGCATGACAAAATACGCAAGTCATTCATATCCAGCCTGCAAAAGCTGGATCCCTTCACAGTGAAGATGGAGAACTCACCCACGAGTGGACACACTATATAGGATTTCCTAGTTACCAGGAGTGGTTCTCCGACCCTTCGCTGTGACTCAGGGCTCCCCAGCAAATGAAGTGGTCTGGATGACGGTAATTTATTAGTGGGGTAACTGGTGATGTGTCTTTCTTCATCACTACTCTTTGCTTGTACAGTAATGATTAGATGCATTACTTTGCTTAGTTTGTTTGTTGCCAAAATGGTGCATGTGCTAAGCTTATTGCCATATTAAATGCATTATTTTGTTTTTGTGTTGCCTTAATTTTGCTAGTAAAGTAAGACCATTCCCTCTGTTGGTGTCTGAGTCTTCTCTCTCTCCCGTCAATCGGCAAAACAATACTTTGCAAACTCTTGGGTGTTACCATCAATAGGTTAATTTAATATTAATTTCCCTAGATGCCTTTCTAGCTATGAAAAAGAGAGAACTGAGAATGTTTCAGACCAACAGCCATCTTTACTCTCTCCAAAAGGCCCCTGGAGGGACGCTCTTCTCCACTATAAAGGAGACATTTAGATTCAATGAATCGCAAGTTAGCTTTGGAAATAGGTAAGATTCTAAGTGAGAAGGAACTGCCTAGGGCTTAAGTGAAATATTTGTAAATTACAGGTCACAAAAGCTTATAGAAAGCTATATGGATTTTACTTTCAAGAATTCTAGTGATGTTAATTATAGGCTGGAACAATCTACAGATCCTCACTTATGACAATTGAGCCTCACAGGCTTCTGACCAGTGATAGGTTGTTACATGCTATTAAAAACATTTTCTTAATTTAATAATTTTAAGTTGATCTCAGTACTTTATCTCTTCCTGAATAGATTAAATAGACTAATCTACTTAAATCTCTCAATGTAAGCACATTTCCAAGATTTTTATTCCCACTAGCTAGATTTTCTCCAATGGTTTTCCTATTTTGCCAATATCCTTTCTCAAGTATGGACACCAGAGGTGTTTTTCTACAAATGTTCACATAAAAGCTATCTATTGCCTACTTTCTCCTCCAAAACAGCTTCTTGACTACACATAGAAATATCATGTACCTACATAACATGTTCCTATTTAGCTGGTTATCAAGCCTCAGCATCCAAGGTCCTTATCACTCCTTTCTAAACATCTTTTAGAGATTATGTACATTGTTCACCTTCTTGACTTTTAAATATTTAACCTTCCATTTACATGTATTAAAACAGGCATTCACGTGAGCTGACTTTTAAGTTAACCAATGCAGTACTGAACCAACAATATTAACTTACAAGAACTATTTCTAAGAAATTAAATGCCAATAGATAATGACAAAAATGACATCTATTTAAAATGGTACATTCAGTGGACCATCACCATAACCATTTATAACATGCAATTTTAAATGAATACTGAACTATCAGAATATCTTAAGAAATTCATATTTTTAAGTATGAGACATTATTCTTAATGTAAGGTATAATACCGATGGCTTAAGGAGCAGTGCTTTTGTCAAGTTTACAAAGTTCATGTACTGTTTAGAGGTAACAAAGCAAAGGGCCAGCACTTTCTATTTAATGAAGCTTGTAAGAAATTTCTCAAAAATTCTGTCTGAAAGGTTTCAACTCACCTACCAGATATCAAGACTAACATTACAGAGCTGCTATACTAACCTCTGCCCAAGCCTTAAGCACAGCCAGTATCTCCATAGTTGAGGTGCTTTCATTATATTGTTGATTTTGTGCTTCTTTTCCAGCCTGCACTTTGACCAAAGAGGACACAAGCAACTGGTGAACCCTTCGAAGGTCATTAAGATCACTGACTACACCACTTGCTATCCAGGCACTGCATACCTAGTGTTGTGAAACAGAAACAATGAGGAACAAGAAAAAAACACCACTGGAGACTTTTTTTTTGTCTGTAAAATTATGAAAACCAGATTTAATTTCTACCAAGATACCTCTCAGAAAATAATAAATGTTAAATGACACTACAGTTTAGTATACTTAAGTAATGAAAGCCAAAAACATTAGTGGGGAGTCACAAATAACGACCAAGTATCAACTGCTACAAAGTTTCTCAAAAGACTTTAAACTGCAAAAAATCTTTGAGTTGTCACAATATAGAAGTAATATTATTTTGTGTGCATTGAGGATTTGAGGCTAGATGATTTATTTTCTTTTTATTGTGTTGTGTATCAAGCAAAAAAAATATTTCAGAGGGTCTATTACCTAAGACTTCTGACTTTCAACACTTGCCTGACATGCTTTTGCTGTGACATCAGGAGGAGTTTCAGGAGCAAAGGCAGGCCTAAGTGCTGCTCCAACCTAAAGAGAAGTTACACAACATTCAACACATAGTGAACAATTAAATAAATATTTACATTTCATAATTAGACTTTGTTATAATTTTCCTTTATAATTTTCCTTTTTTCACAGACTGTTTCAGTGAAGCTAAAGAGCAGAGAAACAGCTGCAGTCATACTTTTATTGTTTTGCTTACACTGAAGACATGGCTGTCTCTGAGAGGGGTCTTCAAAGTTGATTCTATTTTTTGCACCGTCTAAAACTGAACCAGAAACCTTTTCCTTCCTGAACGCTTGGCTTGATGAGTAGCAAGATGCCTAATGAGTGACATTTCCTTACTTAGAATGAACACAGATTTAAGGGAACAAACAGCTGAAGTGGGTCAACTTTGGAAAGTTTAAAAAAGGGAGAGCACAAACTCCATTTGCCTAATAAAGAACAGACAGACATATAGTTACCAGGTTGCAGAGATTTTAGCTATTCTCACTGTTGAAAGCCATTTCAGTAAAGTCCAATAAAAATTTCCCTTGCTGCTTTAGCCTGCATTTGAAAACTCAGACTTAAGTCTGATGCTTTTTGGAATGAAAGTGTAGTACAAACACTACAAATACAAGTTTGTGAAAATAAGTGAAAAGGATTTGTTGTTAATGGCAATTAATGACAGTTTTTTAAGACCCACTAAAGCTCGACTTCATTTAAGGAACTTCTGAACAAGATTTCAGGAAGTTATTACTCAAGTACAGAAAATCTATATCCATCTTTTTCTGGACTATTATGATATTATTACAGAAAAAAAAATTAAAAGATAAAGACTTGATATTTAACTGTTTCACATCTCTTAAACTACCATGGAACAGCTGATCAGATCTATACATAGTATTAGCAGAAACACTTTAAGGGTCCTGAAGGTTAAAAGGAAAATTATTAGCTCTACTTATGACCTGCTTGAAGGTTTCAGACAGCAAGGACAGATAGCATATTTTTTCCCCTTAGTAGTTCCAGAGTAGACCGAGGCACTTCTTTCCCACAAAGAAGCGCCAGTAAAATAGAATTCTAATGGCAAAAGTGAGATTAAAGTAGGTTAGGATGTCTTCAGTGTCAGGATCTCTCCATTCCTTTGAGAGAAAGTGATTTGACCTATTCAATCCCTGCTAGAAATTGAAGAATGGGAGCCAGATGAGGCTTAACACAGCTGTCTGCCGTATTTAACACAAGTGCAGTCTGGAATGCAAAATGATTAGGACATCTTTTCTCTAAGTCTCAGCCAACACTTAACTGAAATGGACCTTTTGAGTATCATCCATGCTTTTATCTCCTCTAGCTTATTTATTGGCCAAGATCTCCAAGTGTGATCACTGGTGTGCAAAGGCTACTTACTTCTGAGCAGAATTTAAAATTACAGTTGTTCCTAACATTTTTTGCAGTACTTTCACACTTTGAAACCAATGTTTTCCAAAAAACCCCTACCAATTATCTTTTTTGGTTTTGCTGTATTCAAGAGAGGAAAATGCCAAAACTTGAGAAACTTTGGAGCTTAGAGTTATATGCCAACTGAAAAGATAATTTCTAAGGATGTTAAGGCCAAAGAAATTAACAATACTTTCAGTAACAAACTCACTAAAATCTAACTCTTATGCACTGCAAAAGCAAATTTCTTTTAGTGATTGACTGTAACTTTAAACTTTTCTAAGTTATTAGTAATGGTGCTTACATTGGCTTGATATTGCTCCAGAATTACATGACCTGGAAACTCTGGTTCTGGAATAGCTGCAAACTTCCGAACAACAATTTGCAATGTTTGAAGCCCAGAAAGACGAAGTTGATCACTATGATCTGTGGCAGCCATAAAAGCCATACGAACTAAGTCAGCTAAATGCAATACCAAAAAGTCATCTGAAAAAAGAAATAAAATAGTTTTATTAAATTTAGATTTAGACGTAATGTGTTTTATAAGACCGATTCCAACATTTTCAAAATTAATATTTTACATTTTACCTTAACATATCAATTTAGGCAGCTTACACATACAACAGTCTTACTTGGATATCTTATGTTAGCTGATCCAAGTTGCTTTCCATTTATATGTAAAAAAAAGGTACTTAGAATAAAGCGTAAATATCTTATTTATAAGGCAGATTTTCTAAAAAAGAGTGTTGAGGAAAACACCTCCAGATAAACATAGAAAGGTACCAAAAAATGACAGTGTTTATACCGGTCATTATGCAAATTATAGGAAAAAAAAAAGTGATGCTTTTAAAAAGTCATACTCTCAGCTACTCCCAGATACTGTGATGTTATAGGTTGGTGTCAGCTATCACTTCTGACTGCCAGTGCTTACGCAGAAACAATGGCTTCCTGCGCATATGCCATGGTACTATAACCAGGACAGTGATTGTAAATGGTGCAGTAAGATGCCAATATTTTAGCAAACAAAAATTGCTCTACATCTTAATAAATACAGGCTTCTAATCAGAATAATTAAAGGCTTCATTGATTACAAACCACAAATTTATAACAAACTTCACTAAGATGCGAAGAGCTAATATTTATTTTAAGCATACTTTGCATTCTATTGAATTCTTTCAGCGTGTAACACATACCTCTTGAATCACGTTGTTTTCTTTCCTGAGCCAAAGTTATGTCAAAATGTGCACTGCATGCATTTTCACACTGGCTTATAATTTTACAAACACACTCTGCAGCAAAAACTCTGGTAGACCATCGTGGATTTCGGAAAGGATGGAACCTGTCATCGCTGTCAGATGTTAAAACAGATGCATCATCCACTTTGGCAGTTTCCTCTTCTTGAGTGGTATCTACTGAAGCTACTGTATTGAAATCTGTATTTAAGACACAGGAGAGAAAACCCAAAATATAATATTCTTTCTTACTGTAATTGAAAACTACAGAAAGACTCACATGGAAATCTCTTCAAAGTCTATCTCTAGCCTCAAATTCACTGTGACTGCCTTCAACCTCGGTGTCTTAAAGTAAATGCTAGAATTAAAATATGACAAAACTGCCTACATTTGGTTGATATTAGTTGCTGGAAGACAAGATCAATGAAAGTAAACTAAGTAAACTAAGTAAACTAAGAACTGCAGTGAAAGAATCTTTTAAAAGAAGAGTGACACATTAGAAGCTAGTAATGTTCCAAATCAAAAAATCTAAATCCTCGTTTTCCTCCTGCGCTGCAGGTAAAAGAATTTCCTTTCTCCCCTCCCCCTCCCCCAATATTTAGCACAGTAATTAATTTTGTCCGCTCAAGAGTTTCATCATGATGTAGTAGGTTTGAATCATTCCTATTAGTAATAGAAGAGCCCATCTGAATATTTTTCTTGTAGGTAATTGCAAAGGACTCATGATCTCGAACGTACTCCGCATTTCTATTTCTAATATGGAAATAAGTTAACATTAGGACTATAAATCAACAAGAATATGAACAGGCAACATGCTACGATGTTGACAAAAAGTTGTTCAACAGGGAAAAGGCAATTAGAAGGGAGAAAGGCATATTCATTCCTCTGAAGGAACTAAGTTAAAGGGTCCAATCTTTCAATATAAACGATGATGATACACTTCATAAATGCCAAACATTCAAGAAACATGAATACTTTTCCTTAGTGACACAGTGTACTTCTGTAGACTTTATTTTGATTGTGTTCTCAACTACAGTGTATTAGGGCTTACCAGCAGAGGCAGCAAGAACGTCTTTACAAAGCTTCAGCCAAAAAGAGAGCTTTTCAACTGCCATTGAAGTAAGCATATGAGTCAGAGTCTCTTTGATATCTTGGCACAATCTTTGATCCAATTCTTTGTCCAGCAAGCCCAGCAATGCCCCCTCCAGGCCTATTTCTCTGATGTTCACATCTGCTAAGAACAAAGTGTGAGTTGAATGCTGTACATCACAAAACTGCAGTAATGACAACAGAAACCCCACCGCATGTTGCACATGGGGTATCTTTTGAATAAATACCCACTAGCCCTGAAATATTTTTGAAACAGTTGTATTAGCTGCTTTAATACTGTATCTGAATACAAAACAAACTTTGAGCTTTTACAGAAACATAGTAAAAACAGGAAGAAAGTTATCCCAGGAAAAAAAAAATCCTACTCTGAATTTCACAGCATTATCATCACTATAGCATCTGAGCTCCTGAAAACAATTACCTTTGGCCATATGATATTTCCCACTAACTTCATTTTCATTTTGACTGCTATTTCACTTATCTTACTTCATAAGGTAATTCTAAAACAATGTTTTAACTTGAAAGGGAAGTTAAAACTATTCTTCAACAAAGCACAAAACTGGACAGACATATTTAACAGTAATTTGTTAAATTATTATGAACAATTTTTATTTGCTCAATATTATGAATTTTACATATCAGCAGTTTTACAAAATGGCTATAGTCTATATTTTTGGAAAATTTCCAAATGAGCTTGAACTGAAATCTGAAGTAAAATCATTTATTACCACCATCTCCTCATAGAAAGGCCATGAGGACGAACTAGTGATCAGTCTCAGGCCTTTTAGCAAGAAGTTATTACAACAGCTACAGGCTAGACAGGTTTAGCTTTCTCTGGAATTCCACTTGCATTTTCTCATTTTCTTCATTTTATCGTAATTTGGTACTATAAAGAGAACTGAGATAGAAAACCATTTTGAGTTCAAGATTTCAAGAGTGTAGCAAAGTTTTCATACCCATAGCAGACTGAGTTCAAAATTCATTGTAAATGTGTCAATGTTTTGATCTCAAAACTTCAATGCATTACCTGGAGTAAAATCTTCTCTGCTCTCTTTTACTGATGCAACAGCATATTCTGATACTTCAGCAGCTTCTCTTTGCACAAGCTGATGTAAGCAAGATACCACTGCACGTCTCAGTAATAGGTATGAGCTACAGAGATTCATCTGAAACATGCAAGAAGATAGAGTAAGATGGCTAACAAACCTCTACAGCAATACCTCAGAAAGGTTGGTATTTTCTGAACAACTGCAGTTATGGCAAATCTGTTACATCAGTAAACATGTAATTGATGCTCTTTTTGTTCAGCTTTTTTTTTGGCCAACCCCCAAATGAAAGGTTTTGCAACATCTGTAATCAATTTTAACACATCAGTACTTTTGGCATTTTCTCTCCAAAGGCAACTTATAATACTGCTTTGGGGCTGAATCCAACTCCCAACCAATACTGGTAGAAAGACTCCCATTAACTTCAATGACAGGTGAATCGTGGTCTCGGTGAACAATTAACTCTGTTCTTTGACTACAGGAGATAGATATATATATATATATATGTATGTATATGTATATATATATACAATGGGCTTGAAAACTCAGTACAAGAGAAAATTACTCAAATCATCCTCAGATGTAACGAGAGAAATGCCAATGTAACCAAGGGTGAGATAGTCAATCAGGTTTTAGTAAATCTGAAATCCATGCATGAAAGGAAGTTTAAAAGAAAGGGCAAAGGGAACACTGCTGCAGTTTCATTGCAAAAAAATATCACATACTCAATTTACATTAAATTATGTTTTAGAGAAGGTGAGAGAAAGGGTGAGAGTTACTGGTGAATGTACTTTTCTGGCAAAAAGGTTCATAGCACCACCATATTTTACAACTATCAGGCCAGTGAGTGTTTTTACACTGGAAAACACACAATTACAGATTCATTATTACTGGAACAAGGAAAACCACGTAAAAAACCCAAGACATAGCCTCAAGGTTTTTTTGTTAGAGCAGAGCTTTCTGATTTTTATTTGCTTGCTTTCAATTTTAAGAAAATCTGAAGGGAATCCCAAAAATATGATAAATTAGCTGTGTGGTCAGGCAAGATGGCTACACCAATATTTATGCAGCTTCTTTTAAATTAAGTGTAGTTTATCATAAAAAAAAAAAATTCTTCTCTACAACTAAGTAATTGTGTGCCCTTAGCTATTACCATCCTTAAAATAGAGCTGAGTGTCTTCTGCAGGAAAACCTTGACATAAGACTATGCTCCTCATTTGTCAGCAACAGGCCAATATATGTTAGTCAAAATGACTAATATATATTACTTAACATATATTTAAAAAAAACAACAAGGACAAAAAGAGTAAGCAATACAAAATTCCAGCTTTGTTAGATTAACAAAACTAAGCTTCGTCTTCAGAATTTCTATGCATGCACGTGAATCTACAATACTCAGATTTACAGATTTAATATGTAAAAAGATACACTCTGCATAATTCTTTTACAAGAACTCTGACTCAACAAGTATGTCTGTAAGATACTTTAATTGAAACTTTAAAACAAGTGAGGCTTTTAATGCAACACTTAATGCAAGCAGGCTACACATTCTACTTTAAGTTGGACATGCATAAATTCCGTGCTCATTTTCAATAGGGGAAAAAACAGAGGACTCAATTTAGGCTACCAAATATCACAAGATGCACATTTTTCATCTCTCTCATTCTTCCACATTCTAAGCAGGGGACAGGACTAAATGACAGACACAAAATGCAAGCATCACATTAAAACTTAAACAAACAGACCCCTTTCTCTGCTTAACACATTAAAAACAAAATTATTCCTCACTAAGCACATAAATGAAATGTATGCCTGCCATCTACAGAAAGTTAGGAAGGATCTGGTTAGGATGACAATAAAATGTCACTTGACATGCTAAAAGAAATTACATTAAACTGGTTAAAAGGAAAGATAAAAGATGAAATAAAAACACCACTGCAAACTGCAAAACTTAGGATTAACAAGGCACAGGGACCTACCAACACAGAATTATCCAACAAGATTTCCTGCACAAAAAACAAACGACAAACCAGTCATGACAAAACCAAAATATAGATATCACAGTGATATCAACCACACATGGAGACTGTTATATGTAAATTCAGCATATATTAAAATTCAGAATCTTACCTCAAATATACCAAAACCCTCATTTGCTTACTTCATTTATCTTATATTTAATAAGTTGAACACACTTAAATTGCAATCCAGCTGCCTCTAAAATTAGTACTTAAACAGTACCAAGACAGCAGTACAGCATAGTTATTGACAATGTATACTTATTGTGTTTCAAAATATCTTTAACATCTTAGAGCTGAAAACTGCCATTCACTATGTTGAGGAATACTACATCACAAGCTTACATTGATAAGCTCTTTAGCAATCTGTGCTCAACTAAGTTAGTTTCAGAGTTAATTTTAGACATGATTAAAAGCATGCAATTTTTGTTCTGCTAGAGCCAAGAATTCAAACAGCAGGATAAGCATTACTGTTAGACACTCCATGAAAGATCCAATTGACCAACACTGAACACTTTCAGAAAGAAACCAAAGATGGGAAGCTAGATAACGACAGGCACACGTACACAATTATAAAAAAAAGTAACACAAAAAACCAAGCCAGTGAAGCAATGTATCCATTGCCTAAGTCATGTTTTACTAGTGCTAGCAAAGTCACAATCTGAACTGTCCAAATACTTTGGAGACCTGAACCATCTCATCCTCTAAGGGCTGGGAAGACAGGTGGAGGAGGCAGCTTGCAGCTGCTCACAGAAATTGTTAGCATGCCTAATGAGAGGCAGAGAGGGAGGGGAGGAGGATGGGGGAAGAGACAGAGGGAGAGAGAGGGGAGAGAAGAGGAGGGGATATGAGAGAGGAGAGGAAAGTAAGAGAGGAGGGTGAGAGAAGAGGGAAGCAGGGGGGAGGGGGATGGGGAGAATGAAAATTTTAAAAAGGCAAGTTTGACAGCACAGACATTTTCCAAAATCCTTGGGGAAATAGGATGAAGACGGTTATGCTACTAAATGCTACTAAAAATAGAAAAAAAAAATAATTCTTTGCACATTTGTTTTCAAATTGAGTGAGAATTCCTTGACAGAGGGGTAAAAGATCACTCATCTGACCACAGATTCTTTGCCTCTCCTGTTTTTCTGCCCCAAATAAGGAGTAGAGTGGTGAATATTCACACTATCTAGTGCCTAGTTTTTATATGCTACTTCAAAATGTATTGCAAAGGAGGACAGTGACACTTCGTTCTCCAGCTTGCAGACATTTAAACTCATGAAGAATAATTAGCTGAGGGTCACCTTCTGAGCAAACAGCAGAGTCAAGAGCAGATTTCAGATCCAATAATTTATCCTGCTTCTGTAGTGAGATGGTGGTTTAGTGGGTGGAAACTACATGGATGGATGGAGTGTTCTACAAATGCAGAATTCTGATTGTGCAATTATCTTCTCACAGACCTGAAAAGCACACACTCAAACCTTGTTTATGATACTCTTCAGAGACGTACTGGCATTTACTGAATTGTCAGTGTCAGCAAAATTGTCCCTAGTTGTATAACAAGTTCATGGGAATGAGAAAAGTAAGGCCAGTGATTTCTTTGGATTCCTACCCTGTGAAGCCCAGAATCATTTCTGGGTTAGAGAGGAACACACACGTGTACAGATGAATGAACACACACAGTCAAGCTATGAACCATGTTTTCTCTTAATTGAGTAATTTAACATTATGAAATTCATAAAGTACTGTATGAAGTACTTTCAGACCATTTGTAAAAACAATAAAAATCAGTAATATTGTATAGAAAACTTTATCATGATATCCTCTTTATTAGTTAGATAATTGCTATTAGCTAGAGACGCAGAAGCAGATTGCACACAGACTTACAAATTATCCCAAATGCTAACACATCCTCTGAGCAAGAGAGTGGTTTACATGGTTTGCTGTGATTTTATCAACGTAAGAAAAACTGATTTTAACCCAGAGAAGAGAAAATAATTCTTAGTGTATGTTAAAACAAAGAACACTTCAGATTAGTTCCAGTTCTTCTGTAATTAGCATATTCATGCCTATCACAAAGTGGGGCTGAAAGACCTTTAATTTTTCCTACCTCCCACAATCATGTTGCTAGTCAAACCAAATAAAGAAAACTGGAGGAATCTAAACTTTATCCAAAATTAACATATAGTCAGTATCGATACACAAGAGCTACCCAGTAGAAGACGTGAATAAGAACTGTGTTAGTATAGACAAGATTAAAACAAAACCCCACCATACTTTACTGTCTCTGTGGGTTTTTGTTTCTACCTAGCCCACAAAAAAACACCAAGGCTAATAACTACCAGAAAATTATTTTTGCCTTTTTTTTTTTTACGTGCTTCAGAACAAAAACTTTTCAAAGACAGAGAAATATTGAGTGAAAAGAAAAAGAAACAAACAAAAAAACCCCCACAGCAAATAAACTCTCCAACCTCTGTGTCAAATGGGACTGAAAAAGAGTTTTGTTTATTTTTTCCAAAGACCTGGTTTGACTATTACTTATGTAACTGTCAGAAATATTTATACTGACTGCCAGGATGTCAGTACATTGAAGCATTAGTGCTACAGAAATCACAAAACAGAGAAACCTATAATTTTTCAGCATCATGAAAGAACAAAACGAAACCAAACAATTCTCAGTAATCGGTACACACAAATATTTTTAATCAATCCTCCACCCAAGGCATAAAAAGCAGCAAAAGGAAAAAAATGGTCAACATGAAATAGCTGGTAAAAATCCAGCAGAAATTTGTAATGAATGGTATATCCTGCCAGACAACTGGCCTTAAGAGCAGCAGAATGCGCTTGCAAGCAGTTCGGAAGGCCAAGATTTCTACAGAATGTGCTCATCTCGTAAAGGGGAAGCATAAACTGAGAGAAAATAAAGAAAAAATATAGAATACTTGCCTGTAGAAGGACATGAAACACCTCACCCCTACACAATGATCAGTTTCTCTGGTTAAAGAAACATCTGCATTTTTTAAGTGTTTCTGAGCAAAATGTTTTAAAACACAAAGATATAGACTAGTAAATATATACTCACACATAGGCAGCTTACAAGGTTAGACAAGTTGACGTGTCGAGGAGCAAACATGTGAAGCTGCTGAAGGCAAGAGATGGCTTGAGCTTGAACAAGGCAGTCAGGATTATCCTGCATCACTGCACAGCCCAAGAGGCAGGAAGTTCTTAAGGCTGAAACTGTTGTACTGCTGCCTATATTTGGAATAAAAAAAGTAGTTTTTTTCTTTTTTTTTGGTTTTAAAACATCGCTTTTTTGTTTTTTGTTTTTTTTTTTTTTTAATAAAAATGATAACCTGTTTTTTCCCAAGTCAGCCAACATTCATCCTCTTGAAGGATGACTTCTGTGTCTCTGCTATACTTTGATATCAACGAGTAATGATCACATTGCTCTCTGGAAATTTCACTGTCCAGCTATCTAAAAGGTGATTTAGATGCAAATTTTAAATGTGTGCATCATAACTAAGACACAGATTGGCTCCTAACTCTTGAAATACGAGTATCTTCTGTTCTCATGCTAGAATTCTAAGATGTAAAAATGTAAGAATTGTAAAATGTAAAAATTTATGTAAGAAATTTCAGCCCAAGGCAAGGCTTGGAGAACCAGTTCAAACAAAGGAAATGATCTCAAGAAGACATACTATTTTTAGAAAACTAGCAGTCATGTCATCTTCATTGCATAAAGTCATGACCTGTGAAATACTGTCTTAAAATGAGGAAAAAAATCTTAGCATCTGCTTGTTTGTTACAATTGCAATCACACATTCAAACAATGTTTAGCAATTCTGTTGCTAATCCAAACCAAGCTGATGCTTTTATATGTTACATACCTTGCAACTCAGGGCCCAGCGTGGTAATAAGTGTATTTAAACAGCGACCAAGGCTTTGGTGAACTTCAGCATAAGCAGGAGGCACAGTCAACAACAACATGAGAACAAGAGATAAGGTAGGTTCCACATGCACATGATACAAGGGCCCAGCCAAATCTACTATCAGTGACAGAGAGTGTAGTGCCCATGCCTGTAAAATAAGAGAAGTCATGTAATGTTTATGTGATAAACGTAAGATTTTTTAAATAACTTGATAGTTCAAGTGAAATTCAGTAATGAAGTGCGATAAAAGTTGCACTTTTAGATTCCAAAGGAACAAATGGAGAGGTTATAGAAAGAAACCTTAAGAATCTGATGTTGAATAAGTCATTTTGAATATTTTACAAGGAACTATATATTCTGCAATGCAACAACTATTTCAAATTTGTCATTGTTAATTAACAAAAATTTGAATTTAGTAGTAAATTAATTTAACAGTGATTATTATCCTTAAATACATTCTACTCTTTTTAAAGTTTCTTACGGTTCCATGTGCAAGAACAAGAGAATTGTGAAAAAATACTGAGTTGCTGAAACAACTTATTGTTTTAGTTGGAGTTACTTTGCACCAATAGCCACATCTGTTTCATGTCCACACACAGTTCTTCTCTGTGTAAAGATATTGTGAAAAAAGCTTTAAAAATTCTTTAACTGAGATTTATACAAACACATTAAATACACTCGATGTCTCTTAAAGCTCTTCTGATAGATAACAGTTTTAGCCACAGAGAAATAATGTGAATTAGTCTTCAAAACTTCTTGCATTATTCAAGGATGTATATTCACCAAGTTCTACAGCATTTAGGCTACAAATCCCTGTTATTTACTACATGACCCTTCAACAAAAAATGTGATGGAAACATCATAGAAGAGACAAAAACTGACACAAACAAAAAAACTTAGGTACTATCCAGTCAAAGTCAAGATATAGGTGAATGTGAAATGAATTAATTTCTAAAACATCACATACTGCTTCTGAAGCCAGTATATCTTAGCCTTATCAGCCTTGCTGATCATTAGGTAAGAACATCATACATATCATCATATTTGTTGCTAGGGAAGTTGTTGAAGGTGGATTTCAAGCAGGGGCTATCTTCTACATTGCCTTTGCTGCTCTAACCATTACCTGTGAGGTATACCTAAGAGGTTGTGAAGTGTTACTCTTACAAGAAAAGAAACCTTATACCCCAGAATATAATTCAATTAATTTGTAACATAACATTTTTATATAAGTGGCAAGTACCTGTACATCAGGAGAAGTACTGTCCTGAGACAAAGTATACAGGATTCCAACACATGCATTCAGGTGCTGAGTAGAACCTATTCCTCCTAGGTACCTATACAGACATCCCAGAGCCAAAGAATGACCTGTTCTTGATACCACATCCCTGGCAGATTTTAACCTATTAATTGAAAGAAAGCTGTTAGTTTAATCACCAAGACTCTTACTATGCAATAAGCACATGTATAAATGAAATTTCTGGTATATAATAAGCAAAACATTTAATTAGACACCGTTACATTGCCAAAATTCTAAGTTCATATATCATTTCTTATCTGAAGAAAGTGATTTTAGATACATTTAAAATGTATCTAAATGATACCAAAATGATTTTAGATACATTTAAATGATGTTGCTAGAACAGCAGAGAATTTAATTTATTTTAAAGTCTACATGGTTACTTAGACAATCTTCTTCAAGATCACCAAAACTAAGAACTACATGCAGAACTCAGGCTGTGCTTTTTTCTGTTTATTTCTTAAGTGACATCAAATTCATGAAGGAAATCATCTTTTAAAAATTATCATAATAGTCGCTAGGTAGATTTCTCAAACATTTTTATAAACTCAACTAGTAACCACGCTTTTTCTGAACTTACTTGTCAAAACTGACTTGTGCTAATCCGGCGGTGAAGGCACTGTCAGAAACCACCTGTGCCAACCTGGCCAAACACTCTGCAGCAGCGCATCTTAGGAGTGGATTATTGCTTTCCAAGGCACCCATTACCAATGCCAGGGCAGACCTTCTAACTTCTTCTGAACCTAAACTTCCCTTGCAGTTAGCCAAATGCTAAAAATAAATATTAAATATATTAAATAGAATATGAATTAGAATGTGCTTTTCTGTCATGCAAAAAACTCAAGACCTGCAGAAGGAATTTTATTTTCTTCCACTTTACCTGAGGAATTCCTCTCTTTTTATTTGTTGTTTTGAGAGTTAGACATCTGGCCCCGCATAAGTGTACATCACAGCACAGTATTATAATATCAACATTACTATTTTAAGAAATACTGGACAGATTGTAGTAGAACAAAATAAACCAACATATAAGCATAAACTTTAGGAAATAATATCAAGAAGAAAACCAGTGAGAATGGAAAGACACAAAGAAAAAACTCAGTCCAAAATAAGAGTATGAGTAAAAGCTCTAGCAGTTATCTGGATTCCATATTAAATATGCTCCAAATACAAATACTGTACAATGCTTTACTTTTGTGTGTGGCTTTTGCTTTCCCTATTAAACTGTCTTTATTTCAACCCATGAGTTTTTTCACTTTTATGATTCTTTCCCCCATCCCACTATGGGGGAGTTAGCGAGTGGTTGTGTGGCTGGGCTTAAATCACAGCAGTTGACACATTTGAAGCAACAGGTGCTATATTTTAGTAAGAGAGAGAGAGAGAAACAAAGGAGAGGAAAGAAAGGAGAGAGAGAGGAGATTTACCTTTAAGGATGTAGAAAAGGCTGACACGACATGTAGTTGTACTATTTGTTGTCGTGATCCTTTCGTTTGCTTTATGGAATTCAACAACTGTTCTAATGCCTGGAGCCTTAAACAAAAACAGAAAAGAAACCACAGAATTGAAAGTTAAAGAAATAATTCAAGAGTTTCAATTCTATTTTAAAACCCATAACAAAGCCTATATATTACAGAAAGAGAGGTAGAGCAAATTTACTCTTGAGCATTTTCCTTCACTGGCAACCCTGTCTCCTACAAAAAAATGGGTATTCTGTATTAGAAAAAGTAACTGATCCATGAACTCTTTGCCTTTGTTTCCTTATAACATATGTATTCACAGATAATCATTTATTCTAATTAACATTAAACAGAAATTATTAAAACAAACTGTATAGGGGAATGATGCATTTTGACTTACAATTGAGAAAGGAGGAGGTAAAAGAAAAAGAAAATGAAAATGCAGTTATCTGCAGCAATTAGTTCAGGTCTTGAGAAACAGGTGAAGAAAACCAACAAGCAAGGTGGCGATAGTTGGGGCGAAAAACCCAAACAGAAAAAAAATCCACAATAAAAGCAGTCAGTGAAGACAGAATAAGAAAGTAAAGGGGAGTCAGAAGAACAAATAAATCACATGGCAATTTTATTGGCAGGTATTCTCACATTCAAAAAGCTGTCTCAAACTTACACTAAATCCCGAGCATTCTAGGTAGTGAAAATATCAATACTCAGGGCTTGTCAAGACTAAGCACTCATCCCACATAGGGTAAATAAAACCATTACTATCTATAATGATCATGATCTGAGGTCTAAGTACCGTTGGCTTTGAAAATACAAAGCTGTTTATTTTAAAAATAATTGATCTGCTCTAAAGCCGCATTCGAAAATATTACCAGCAGCATGCAGAAGAAGCAACAGCACACAAAAATCTTAAGGAATTTTATGCCTTAGCAATCAGTGTGTTTATAAATGTGAAACAAACCAAAATGCCATGTGCGCAGTAGGAAGTTCATACACACAAAAGAATTTGGTGAACCCTTTCAAGCATTCTTGTACCTTGACAGACCTGTGGTAAGACACACATTTGTTTCTTCCCATCTACTTTTTATAATGAATGAGGCAGGATGAGGCTTCCTTATGCTGCTGCTTCCTACCCCCTTTGTCCCTCTTTGTTTCTAAGGTATTTAGTAATTATGTATTAAGTACCACAAAAATAGTGCAATAGCTCTTAAAATAACTTCCATTTTGATCTGGCTATCAGAACAAAACATTTTTCCTGGTCAACAGAATTTATTATGACAGTAACCTCTTGCTGGATGTGCTTTTTTGTTGTCAGTAACTTTAAAGAGAAACTTGAACAATTTGGTGGTCTAAATTATATTATTCACATGGTTTACAGAATCCACTTAAGCAATTAATTATATTTTCAGAACTGTTTTCTTCTGTATTCCATGTCAAAAGCTGTGACCATCTCATAACATCTCCCAAATTCCCCAGCAGTTGTAGTTACTACTTTACCTGTGAGATTCTGCTATATGGGAAAACATAACTCCAAAAAGTCGAGTTGCTGCACTGATAACAGACAATGCAGGAGGTAGTGGTTTGGGTACTGAGTCCCCTTTTCCAGCTTTCTCATAAATTGCGTGAGGGTCGTACTCCAGGCTGCCACTAGCTATGCTGCTACCTAAAAGGAGCTGTAAGAAAGAAAAAAGGGATAGCCGTATTTTTGACCAAGTCTAAACGAGCACTGACCCTAATAACTAGAACTACTACCTTTATAACAGAACAAAAAGTACCTGCTCTTCGATAAATCGGTGGTCAGTCTCCTGCAGTAAGGGACCGAGTAAAATGAGATCATTCTCATGACAAAGCGGTGGAAGCAAGAACGTAGAGGCATCAATCTGGCTATCTGGGACAGTCAAGTCGGTCACTAACTCTTTCAGAACAGCACAGAAACTTCCTTTAAGTTAAAGGAAAAATATTTAAAATTTCTGGTTAATTACTTGCAACAAGCAACTTTGGGAGCAAGATATTTATACTGAAATAGCAACATCCATCTAACATTTCTCTCAAGTCTTCAAATAGTTAATTGGAGAACCCTCTGTTACAGGGGAAACAACAGAGCAGTATCTGAGATAAGCAAGCTAAGCACATACAGCAATCCAGAAGCTGAAAAGCAAAGACTTGTACTTTTAGAGAAGGCATAGTGCCATACAAGTGATAATCCAGTAAATTAGTTACAATTGCAATTAAAGTAGAGGAAAAAAGGCAGTTACAAACACAGCTATATTTTCTTCTATTTCCTGAAAATTAATGCTGTGAAATGTATTACATAATTACATGGGAATACTTGGACTTGGCAAGTCAAGGTAATTTAGAACATCCATAAGTTTGATAAATAACAAAATCTGATGAGCATAGTCCCCTGTTTTATGAGTTTGCATGCGAAAAGCAAAGCAGGAGAAATTTACTGTAGGTTACGCTATGATAAATGACACTGTTAGTTGAGTTTCACATATTTTTGTACTTAATATTTCTGACAAGGTTGTACATTATACATAAACAACAACCCTGGGCATTTTGACTCAGACTATTTTAGGTCATTAAAATAGTCCTTATAGTGAGAGAACATTTCCAGCGCTGAACCACATGTGATGAGAAAGGTCTGATTTATAATTAAGTTGTGTTGAAAAACTGCAGAACTGATCTTAAAGAATGCACACAGCCTTTATACAAATATTACATAAGAATTTACCTCCAGAGAATTAAGGTTGCAAAGTCAAGTCCTCAAGAATAGGGAAATATCAGCGCTAAGAGGAGGAGCTTAACTCCACATATCCAATTCTTTGCATTCAGTTTAGATGATTGCACAACTATCTGTTTGCACTAAAGTTGCTTATCATTTCTCAACACATTGAAGTTCCAAAAAATGGGACAACACAGTTATTAGCACCCCATGAGCACAAGCAGAATTATTATAGTTGGAGCTGGCAGCTACAACCAGCTATTTTACCTTTTTTGAAAATTGAAACTGTTCCGAGAAAGCTGACTTTCTCTCCCCTACTTACCAAACTCCTGGCCTCAACAGCCTGTCTTCCCTGCAGGCATCTGTTGCTTTGCCTGCCTCCCTGACTAATTAGGCAAGTATGTAATTTTTCCAAAGCGCTTTACTCAAATCTAAATGCAAAAAGTTAGCACTATCAAATATATTGCAAGGTGCACAAATAGTGTGTGCCAGGGACACAAATTGAGCCTTTTCAAAAAAAACACAGTAGTTAAGAACTAGAAGCTGTTCTTTCATTATTGCTCATCACAACACCTTTTTTTTCTTTTAAATTCCCTTCCTATGAGAAGAGCTTTTAAAATCAAATGTAATTGAGATACCCATTTTTTAACCAAATTAAAAATTATTTTAGTCTCAGAACTTGGCAATCCTCAACATGTCAAACAATATTTTCCCAATGTAAAGCAGTTCAAAATTTTGAGCCAGAATGCTGTTCCAGCATTCTAGCTATTCATCTCATCCTATTAAGAAAGAGAAGTGAATGCTTGTATTCAATTTTATGGTTTAGACAGTGGAACGTAACAAGCACAAAAAGCTGAAGAATGAAAAGAAACCTAATGAGTTGTCTGACAAAACACATTAATTTCAGACAACAGAAAGCATCAACAAATCTAAAAAAATTCAGACTACTGAAATTATTTGTCTGAAATTTTCAATCTGGACATTATAAAACTTTTTGTGTTAAGTAACAGGAAATAAATGTTTAGCCTCAAAAACATGAGCACATTATAATCTGGATCTAATTACACATGAAAATGATCACAAATATGATTCTTCATCTTAGAAACAGAAACAGCTTTCACCAGCTTAAAAAGTTCATACTTTGCATGAGATAAATTGCAAAGTCTTAACTGTTCAGACACAATTGAAGACAGCAACTAAAACATGTTCAATGTATTTCACTGATGTTCAAGTTTACCTAATATGTTCTTTTCATTTCTGTCATTGCTGAAACAATGGAAGAAATCACTTACTATTCATGCACACTCATAGTAATCTTCGTAAAATTCGCTGTTTGAGTTGATATTGATTTTTAGTGATGAAAACAGTAAAAGAAACTGCCTCTAAGAGGCAGAAAGTGAGCAGGAAAGGACCAAGCAGAGCCTAAACAAGTCTTAGTGTCTCAGGCCTCAGAAATCTAAAGCTTTGAATTGAAAAAGAAGCTGAGATCTATGAATAAAGAATCTGTTTTCAACTGTTCATTTTCCTGGGTATTTTTTGTTCCTCTTGTGCTAAAGAAACCAAGTTTTGCACATTATTTGCAAGTACCAAAAGCTTGAGTTACAACTCCTGGTGTATGTTTCCATCACCAATTTTCTCAAAAAGAAACAGCTTCCAGGTTTCTAGCATCTGCCTAACTACCTGGATGAAAGAAAAGAAAGACAAAAGAAATAAAACTATGAACTGGTGAAAGTTTCTCATTCAGTGTGTCACTCTGAGCCATGCAAAATGTGACATGCTGTGCAACACCAGAGTACTCCTAATATTGTCCCTATTGATAATGACTGAATTTAGACATTGAAAAAAGAATTCTGGGTTTCATAATGATATTGTTTTCCTAAATATATAATTTTTAAAAATCCAGGTATTTGCAAAGACATACAGTTTCTGCATGAAGCTTTCATACTGGAAATAATATGGAAAGAATGGCATTTGTTTCAAGTTTTACCTTAGAAACTTTTCATCACACTTTTAAATGATGCACACTTATACAGCAGACCTTGGAAATAAGTTCTGGCGATGTACGCATTTCCATTCTTTCTCCACTCTCATACTGTTGTATTACACATGGGTGGATACGTCTGAGACTACACCTGTCAGGTAACTGCTTTGATTCTAAGGTTATTCTCAAAGCTTTCAGCAGGGTGACCCCTTATTTACAAGAAACCTTTCAAGCTTTTTCTTTATTTATTGGATCTAGAATGCAGCACCCTCAGCTAGGATGCTCTCTCACATGAATCATGCTTTGCAGGTCACACTGTAAAACACGGTGTATTTTCAATGAAGTTAGAACATAACACAGAAATCTCAAACACATCAAGAAACTGCCAAACCCATACCAAATGCTTCTATTGTATAAAATGTTACCCCTGTAATAAAGAAACAAAAGGAATAACTTGTTCTAAGGGATGGAAGTGTAATTTTCAGTCTTTTAAACTCAAGTCACGAATGAGTATTATACACCATGCTTCCAGTGTTATATACAGAATTCCAGTGTGACGGCAGCTTTAAGGCATAAGTCAGGGATTTGTCCCAATTTATTTAGCCGTTACCACTAGATGGAGCACATAATTTGAGTACGGATTCCCTCCACGATAAAGAGGACACAGCTAATTTAGACCCTGGCTGGCCCATATTGTCTCTGTCCTGAAAAAATACCTTATACTTCTCTTTACAGCTGTCAAAAACACTGTGGTTCCTTACTGAAGTCCATACAGTACTGTATGGTAAACAATTCAAAGACAACAAAGGTACTTAAGGTTTTAGCTGAACTGTTAGACCCATCTAACTACAGTGCATAGTTATTGCATTAGAGGGCTAGATTTTAAATACTTAGTTATGTTCTCCTACAGAAAAGTAAATCAATCCCCAAATTTTATTGAAATTGTTCTTTAAATACAAACTTTTTAGCCACAATCTGCACAGGATCAGGTTAATATATCTGTAATATATGTTTACCTTAAATTAATTAAATGAAATTATTTCAATAGACTATATGCAACTGATTTAAACTAAGATTACACCTTTGGGATTCAGGATTCAATGGAAAATAAAACAGGCATCAAAAAGATTTTTTTTCAACTACTTTGAAATTGAAAGGTTGTCTGCCTTCTAGTTTCAACCAAAAACAGAACAAAAGTCTATATGTGTAACAGAGGCCTATATTTATAATAGGAGAGGGGGAAAAGAGATCATGAAAACTACCTTTTCAAAACCACAGTGACTTTGCTACAATTCATCAAATTTAAATAGACAGAATAACATTTATTTTTTAGAAAGGGTGAAACTAATTTTTGCTACCTGAATTTACATTGAACAAAAACTTGAAAATAAGCCCATGGTATTTTTAATGGATTTCTCTCTGTATGGAAGTACATACCTTCATAGGTCTTTGGAGGCAATACTGCTAGTAATTCATAAAGTTTATGTCTGTAAATTGTTGATGGTGTTTTTAAAGCATTTCCGTATGATTTGTATATTGAAGAGAGCCTTAAAATATAAAAAGCACATCAGAGATGTTAAAGATGCAAGCATTATGTAATGCCCCAGTTTCATTTGTACCACTCTGCCAAATGCTTTTAAAATTTGTACGTATTATATAACTACAGTTCTGACTGGCATCACCAATAGTAGAAGGAAAGCAATTTATTTCATATATTCTGACAGAATGTCTGTTGTCCATTCCCAGGCATTATTTTTACTTAATACCAGAGAAATAAACAAGATTTTCTATTTTCTTTGATTTTACCTATATTTATGACAATAAACTTTTGTGGATATATTTCTCTAAGTTAGAGCTTAAAGCCTAAATGCATTAGATCACTCTATATTCCAAAGGCAAATGTTTAAAAATTATAAAACCCTTTCCAACTTAGTTCTGAATACAGATATAAAAAGTGCCCATGTCTAAAAGATTTTTTCAAATCATATTCTTGAACTTTGTTTTTATTTTATAAAAAATGATGGTATATAAACACAAATGTGCATGTTTGATTAAAAAAGTAGAATATAAACACTAACTTAAAAAACCCATGCAATAGCTTCTTCCTTAGCTTTTTCACATGACACTGGAATCTGCAAACACATAGACTCTGATTTCTGTCCTTTGAAAAGAAAGTTCTTTAGAAACTGTGCTAAGTCAAATGCACATTACTCTGGAGCTTCTCAAAACCAGAATCCATGTAACAGCTTTGTACACACACTTACTGTGTCAATAAATCAACAGCACTTGGGAGAGGAGGAAGAAGTCTCTGAACAACTTCATCCGTAAGAAGACCACCACAGTGGGAAACAAAGCTTTTGATAGCTAGAAAAGGAATTGGATTTTAATTTACTTAGTGTGAGGTATCTTGCAGGCACAAAATCACATCAGCAAAGTAATCACATCATTACATCACTAATAATGTAAAAGTAGAAGAAAACAAACAAACAAACAAAATTAAAAAATATTTTAGCCTATAAAATTGAAGAAACTGATAAAAATCTCATGAAAAAAGTCATGTTTACAGATGCACTGTTTTGTTGTCTCAGCTTGGACATTCATAGTCTGACTTTTAATTGCATATACAAATTGACCTATTTTTTGCTTTTTGTTATAAACTGAGTTACAGTATATAACTCAACTTCATGATAATTCCATGATAATAATAAAAAAATAGAAGAAGGATGATTAAATGACCTACTGCTTACTGTTTTCCATTACAAATTAGTTTAATTACTGTACCTTATGAACCAGCTAATATGTATACAAGTATTTTTCATTATTTATGAAAAACTAAACTCGAGTTTAATTTTCAAAAGCACCTAGAGAATATGAAGTATTAAATACCTATTTTATAAAGAGAAAATACTCATAGGTTAATTGTTTAGTTTACTTGTAAAATGAAATTACTATTGAATTCCGCACTTTGTGATAAATCTTAACAGTAAGAGAGAGGGGTGATCACTACACCAGGGTTCATATTTCTGCAGTGCAAAGGACCCTTTAGTACTCTGGAATACATGACTGAAACATGTTAAGTATTTGAAGAAAATTACTGAAGTAATTTCCTGGAAACCCAAATTCACAGTATTTCATTCAAAAATTGCAACCTAACCAGACAGCAGCCACATACAAAGTGCTCTTTACAAGGTGAGAAGTGCAACTACCTTATCACAATTTTTACCCAACTCTTCCCACTCCCACAAATGTGTTTGAATGACTCACCAATTCTATTTTGCTTATATTAAGTTACCTGATAGGAAAGAGAATGTCTTTTTTCCAAACATAATAAAAGGTATAAACAACAGAACATATCCTGCTTTGGGTCTTCATTCATTACTGTGATATGTATGTTAAACTAGAGAAACAAGCTTCCTGATTATCATTTACTGCTTGAAAATCGACTGATTAGAAGAACAAGAGGAAAAACCATCTTGGGTTTTTTATTAGTTGGGGGTTTTTTTAACAAAAATGAAACACACATATATACATATGTAAATAGAGATATAGAAGCACGTATGTTGGGGAGTGAATACATCCTTTACCATCTAGTAAAAAAAAAAAACCCAATATGAAGTGTCCTTGTTCTGTCAGAAGGAAAAATAAACTAACAGCCCAACTATAAATATGCAGAGAAAGACAGTAAATCCCACTTACCACAAAGAGCACCAGCACGACCTTCCAGTGTTACTTGCCAGGTAAACGAATCTCCTCGTGTCTTCTCTGTTTCTAGGTCTTTGGGAGATGATGGAAAGATGCACTTCCACAGTAACAGCATTCGTGGCAGATGATGTTGGACAACTGCAGGACCTATAAACATTGACAGTTGTCATGTCAATGCAGCATTAATAAAATTAAACTTTCTCTTTCATTCCTTTTTCCCGAGTTCACAAAATCTTTACAGCAGTGAATAAAACCTTATGCTACTTTTCCAGCCTTCTCATATATAATTTCTCAGATGTTTACTATCTTGGTACTTCATTTTCCTATATAACTGCATACCCAACTGACACATTTACTAGTATGCTACCAAGCCAACTGCAGTCTCTGTTTTACTAAGACCCTGTAGATCACCAGCATAAAAGAGATGTAATAATCAACAGCGATATTCAGGAAAGCAAGCATTTGTTTTAGGTTAATTAAATATAATAATATAAGAAAAAAAATGGGAGTTGTTGGGCAGAAGTAATAGCTGAAACACGAAAGGTGCCTTGAAAATATGATCAAACCCAATAAAATACATTCTTTATAAGTAACTTACTGATCACAGTCAATAATATGACCATTAAGATATATCATAAAGTTCTGTAAGATTTCAAATGCCTGACAAGAGGGATATAGAAATGATTAGCTCATTTTGTGCTGGGACAATGTTTAACAATTCATGACCATGAAGACATTTGGTTAGATTGACTTTGAAATTTATTTTCTACATTTAACTAATAGCAGTCCCACTCAGTCACTAGTTTTCAGACATTGCTCCCAACGAACTAACAGCAAATTTGAGAGAAATGACATTTTTATCTCAGAAAGTTTTTTTAAACATTCCAAACATTTCAGGGTTTTTTAATGATTTTGCAGTGGTAAATTACATAAAATCTCAAAAGAACTAAAATCAGAGAAGTGACACAGAACAGCTTAACGGAGTTTAAGAAAAATTGTAGAAAGCTACTACCTAATGTCATGAGGGCAGCTATCAACAGCCATCCAGCCTGTGTTCGCTGCAGTGAAATGCGACCGTTCTGAGAAGCAGAACACAACAACTCCTCTGCTACTGTCATGATTACCTTCAACGTAAAACAGAAAAACAGAGCATCAGCATCTTCATAACTACAATTTTTTTTTCAAATACTTTTATTTTGATTCTTAATCCTACTCCAGTGTTCCCAAATAGGATGCCATCTTCCCCTCACGCTATGGCAATAAACTCAGGCTCCTGAAGTTGCACTTCCTGACTTCAGTAGTAGTCTGGGACAGCTTCAACAATTCTATGGAGTACTAGGTAAGTTACTCAGCTGGTTTGTACCCTTTCTTTTATCAGCAGTAAAATGACAACTGATAATTCTCACAGGAATATGCATTGGAAGGATAGAAGTGTTGTGATATTCTATTTATGTCAATACGTAGAAAAAGAATAGCATGAATCCTACAAATTACAGCTCAGAAGAAGTGGTGGGATGGACCAGTAATGATCTTCTTATCATTGTTTTAGAATAAGATATATTATTCTCTCTGACCACTTTTCAAATCGACAAATGGCATGGCTAAACAAATGACTGAGAATAGTATAGTTAGAATTAATCCCATTTTAGCTGCACACGCCCACCAAGTGCAAAGTGCAAGGTGATTACACTTGTTACCAAAGCACAAGCTACCCAGAACTTAAATGGAGGAACACACCCCCACGGACAATTACCACAGCAGGGCTACTAAGGCTGTAAGTATTCTGCAAGTAGTTTGCTTCAATTACATTTCACATATGCTAAAAAGTATTTCTTACTTTCTGCATTATGTCTGGTCTCCAAAAATTCCCATAAATCAGTATTACAAGTAAGAAGTGTCATTAGAGTATCATTAAAAGTCTTAGTATAGAAAATGTCCTTCTATAATTTTTTTGCACACTTAGAAAATGATGTGAAAGTTTGCACATGAACATTTGTTTCATGAATGTTTGAAATTTTTTTCCAAAACTTCATCTAAAGTCTTTTTTCCAGTCGGAAAGTATTGGTTTCCCCAATTCCATAATGCTACCAGGTGGTTGTAAATGAAGAAATTTATTTGTATAGATTCCTGATAGATTAAATGTATTTGATTCTAAAATAAATCAGTACCCTTGTTAAATTATGCTACTAAACAATCACTAAAAATTTATTATAATTAAATTACCTGTAAAACAAACATCCTAGAAAGGATGTCATTTAATGATTTCTGGCAATTTTTCTCTCTATGTACAGGAGGAATGTCTTATTTTTGAAGGATTTTTTTAACAGAAGCATAAGCACTAGTACTGAATGTTAAATGTACAAAAACTCATTAATTATTTTCTTTAGGTTCCACCTGCAACTCTAACTGCTCTCTCAAAGGAAAATTAATTAATATAAGAGTTTCTATCCAGATCACTATTGTCTGAGTTTGATACTTCTTTGTCAAAACTGCTCTATTTAACACTGGTCTCTTTCAGCTCCTCAGAAGAGGAGCTAGTCTGCAATCTGGAAGTGTTCCTAGGAGAGAATGGAAAAGGGCTTCTGTCAACTGCTCTGTTCTCACCCCTGCCAGCTTAGTACAGAATACAGTATTTCTCCCACACTTTTTTTTGTACCCTCCCATACCTCCTCCTGGCTCTATTTCATCCTACTATACTCCTCTAAAAGAAATCTTTGTTAAGAATTATGTTTCTCTGTTAAATAGAAACTTTAGCTCTGCTTAAGTATATAGTATTTGAATGGTACTTCTTATCTATATAAGTGGGCAAACTGTATTCATTTTGTTCTCTCTGCATGATCTTTTAGTAATCACCAGGAAAAGTTCTTAAAAGCTAGGAAACACAGGTACATTTTTTTTTAATTTATAAGTTGTTTCAATTTGCAGTTGGAACTCTGAATGCTGAGAATATTTTCCTAATGTCCATTGACTCCAAAACAGGTATTTTCACAAGAGAGAATATAAGTTTCTACATTGTGCAAAGAATTAGCATGTACTGCTGACATTTATGATGTACCACAGTTTTCCAAACATGAGTAACTCCATAGATAAAGTTGCCAATAAGATGAAAACAGCTTCTTCTCCTGGTCTGTATTTCTACATCTGCATATCCCTAAAACTTCAGAGCACTGTATATCCTATCTGCACTAGCAAGGAGATTGGTACAAGCATCTTAGACTATGATAATGTAATAAATTGGTTTCTATTAAATTCTGTAAAATGAAATAAAAGTGTGTATCTGTTGTACTTGACTAAACATTTTGTTGGACTTGACCAAAGATTTTCAATATAATGCACAATGTCTGTTACTGCTTTAAGCACTGACTAAACTGTACTCTGGAGAGTCATTGATGAGCCTAGGAAATACTAATTTGGCTTACTCTGTGGTTGAACAACTTTCCTCCCAGAAACATGACAGCATGCAACAGATCTGTATGTGTATTTCTATTTTTTTTTTTTTTTTAATAAAAGGAAGATCTTTTCCTTTGGCAAAGTCTGATACTTTTCAGCTGGATTTACTCCAAAATAGCCTTTTCTCACCATTAACACTACTGAAATGTCAGCTTTCTAAATTAAGCCAGTGTCAAACTCAGACAGAATTGCAGAAGGCTTAATTTTGCTGTAAAGAATTTAGTTGGAAATCTGAAAAATGTAACTACTCAAGAAATACTTTCTTCAGGTAAATCTTCTCTTAGACTGTTCAATTTAAGTCCTAAAAGCTCTGTTCCAAAACAATGAATTTCTCCCCTAACAAAATTTTCTATTAGAAAAAGGTAGTAATATGAGTAGTTAACAAAATCATTAACGACATTTCCCAAGAAATTCACAATCCTGACACATTTGAGAAAAAGCATTGGCTTATTTGACTTATGGCATGCTTCAAAGTCCTCTTCTTTGAAGGCGCCAAAATATCTCATCAGTACACTGGGTTATGCGAGCACATCATAAAGAAAACTTGCAAGTACTACTGCAAAAACATCCAAGAGCTGCCCATATGTAAAGTATTCAAACCATACCTTGCCTTTTCCATGGGGAATTCCTAAAGGACAGTGTTTTACTGCACCCAGTAAAGCAGCAACAGCAAAACTATAGCCAGTTACTGCTTCTGGGGAGGATTTCAGCGTACTAAGACGTTCAATGCAACGATCCAACAGCAGGGACACATAGGAGGGTAATGCTACTGCAATACAGCGTAAACTCCAAGCTGCTGTTATTCTGACTGAAATGCTGGGATGAAGAATGATAGAAATTACTGCTTCCAGAACTCCTGAAAAATAAAACGCATAAGAAATAGGTAAGCAGATTGTCAAACAAGCAAAAATCTATACAGAGGACTGGTGAACATAACACTATACTTCTCTTGAAAAACTATTATTGTTTTTTATTGTGAAGTACTTCTTAACGAATTTTAATAATTCAATACTTTTCAAAAAAAATTACCCTGAATGAAATGTAACTTTACGGAGAAAACCTAATATATTACACAGTTATCCATCAACATGCATAGAAAATATCTGTAAGCATTCTCAAGGAAGCAGAAATCCATGCAGTGGAAATAGATGTCCACTCAAACCCATCCAGAAAAAAATGCAGCTAAATGAAAACAATAAAGGTTGATGAAGATACCCGGCTCAATCAAACTGATTTATTACAAACATTATGAAGTGTTAGACTCTAAATACAACCCTTAATGGAATTAAATTTGATACTTTTTTTTATTTTTAATAAATATACTTGTACAGGTTGGAGAAGATCCAGAACTCTTCGGGCAATGTCTGAAACTTTCCTACAGCATGTTAGCTAGCCAACTTTCCCTTCTCCCTTTTTTGTTTTTGGTTGTTTTGTTGGGTTTTTTTAAGTTTATTGGAAGAATACAGAAAAGAAGAACTACAGAGATCCTAGTAAGGAGACTGAGCCAGAAGAATAGCCATAAGAAATCAAAGAAGAAATAAGAAAAAATAAGAAATCAAAGAAGATGAAAGTGAGCGAAGGAATATAAATATATTTTGTACTCTGGATGACAAAATAATTCAGGGCTTGTACCTGTACTGGAGTCTTGCAGTAATGGTGCTGCTGTCGTTCCTAAGCCTTGGATAAGACTTCCAAGTTCCTGAAGTGCACACACAAGCACATGCTGACTTCCTGTTACATCTGTTGTATTAAGTCTTGTTTCCAAGTTACTGTCACTCATTGCAGCATCTGATAACACAGTACAAGAAAATCACTGTGAAATCATTACCAAAATCAAACAAACAGATCAGAAAAAGGTTTTTGCAAGAGAAGATATTTCAATTACTAAATGCAGGCGGGTAGATAAAGTGGAAACTACCAAATTGCTTATCTTTACGTAATGGGAAACAGTGGCTAGCAAGAAGCATGCTATTCTCTGTCCCACCAAAAGTGATGTGAAGAGGACATGCTTTGATAATTTGTCAGATTTTAGTACATAGTAGGAAAAAAGAAAGGGAAGAAAAGAATGAAATTTTATGACAGCAAGCAAGGTGGAGAAAAGGAATAAAGAGAGAGGGGAAAAATATGATGTATTTTTGAAAGGTCATCTTTGGAGACACAAATGAGTATGTCAGTTTAGGCATACAACATTTAGATATTTAACTCAGATACAATATGCAGCTGTACACCAGGGGACAACTGGTTATGCCCAGCACTTTCTTTCTTTTCCACTCCAAGGGGATATGTTTTCTCCAGGAGAAATGCTCATTTTTCAATTAGGAACAAACGTTTCTCTTTTGAACCTTCAGTAATCTCAACTGCTCTGAACAGGAAGGCAGGATCTGGCTAGACATACATTAACTGCCAATTTAACTTACTTTAAAATACTATCTGTATTTTATTACTGCATATATTTATTATTTAATTTTATTTGCAATTGGTTAAAATTGCTTTTGCCAGGGAAGGAGTGTTAAAAAATACATTTATACTTGTGTGGGTACACACATACAGAAACAGAGACACACATGCACACACACACACAAATAACCAGCCCAAGCTGAAAACAAAGCAGTCCATCAAAAGCGTTTTACATTATCATGGGGTAATAAATCAGCACTATATATTCTATTTCTGCAGTCTCTGGATTAGGTAGTTGGACGATTGCTTAAAAAAGGAAAAACAGAGGCCCAAATGGATAATCCTGTTAGACCCATACCCACAACTTTCTTCAGTTTCCAGATGGCCTGACAAATCTCCTTGGCAGCTGCAATTTGAGCCTTTTCCCCGAGCAGGCCTCCTACTGTAGCTCGAAGGATGAATGAAACACAGCGACGACAGCCAATAGCATCCACTGGGCTCTGAACAGCCTTAGGGTGAGACTGAGACACAAGATCTAGAATATGGGAAAGGAAGGCAGAGAAGTTCCTTTCAAGCCATTTTGCTCCTAATGTAGAGACAAATACCACATATGCCTGAAAGAGATTTGAAAAGAAACATATTTTAGAGCAAAATATCTGAGAAATCCCTGCTAACTATCCCACTTACATAACATCTTAAATCTGCACATTGCACAACTAGAACACTAAACTGAGATGACTTACAAATTTATGCATCTATAAATCACATATGTTCTCACTTCTGGTATCTGCAATTTTTTACATATATGTTTAAATAATTTAAATTACTATCAAAGTTGTACCAGTAATATTGCACCCTGCTTTGACTGTAAGTTAATTCAAGATGCTTGCCTGTGTCATTTCATTCCAGAGTGTGAGAAATGGCAGTTTACCCAGCACAGGCACTTTTCATGTAAAACACTGTGTTTGGTCTCACTTAACAACAGCTTCCAGCTATTTAAAATTCTGAACATGCAACCCAAATTTAATGTACAAATGCATTTTAAGAACTACAATATTACAAAACTATAACTCATAACCTGGAGAGAATTTTGTTATTAAAGGGTTTGAATCAGGGAATATTTGCAGCCCCCAAGCACTGTTCCTCAACTCAATGAATTTTAATTGTTTGCCTTGCAAACCATAAAAAAGATAAAAACCATAAAAAGACTATGTTTATCACAACAAGGAGAAAGAATGCAGAATCACTTTACAAATCTAATCACCACAAGACCATTTATTTTACCACATAATAAGCTCCCCTACAATTGCCTTCCATGTGCATGTGCTGGATTCTTTTAATGAATAGATCAAGAGAAGGGAATACAAAAAATGAGAATATGCAAATGAACACACAAAATTCCTCATAAGAAACTTCACTACTACTAATATCAATCAATTTCTGTATTTGCCTCACACATACTTTGTCTTGTGTCTAATATTAACGACAAATTTATTCATGTAAAAGAAAGTGAACTGCTCTGGACAGAGAAATTATACTATTAGATCCTGTTAGAGCTAATCGCTCTTGACAAATACTACTTATGCTTCATAATGCACCAGTACATTATCCTGGTTTTACAGATTGGAAAACTGAGGAATTTCACACGATAAAGACTGTCTTGAACAAATATAAAATCTTCTATATGTAAGAAATCATCTTCAGTGGCTTTCTTATTTTTAAATTCATAATAAGCTGAAACTCACTAATTAATACATTTAATAACTGCAAGTGTTTTCTACTTATAAGCACTGATAAATACATTATTTCCCAAGTTTTTCTGATAGAACCATTGCACTATTTAAACTGTTCTGGTAGTTAGAGTGTACCATCTAGCGCAGGTAGTAATTAGTTAACATAGAAATGTATGAAAAAGGAGACAACTTCCAAAAACCAGTAAAAAAAGTCAAAATATTGAATTGAAATATCCATTCCTGGAAAACTAATAAAACCACCATGCATACAGAACACCCTAGGAGTCTGGCGTGCATTTGCTAGGCAAATAGCTGTCAAGGTATTATTGTTCCCCAGCTTTTCTGTCTCTCTGCCAGAAGTTAATGCTTCCACTCAGCATGACCTGAGTACAGACGACAATTTGTGAGCACCTTCTAGCTGTTTCAGTGCAAAGTGTGGCAGCTTGTATCAGTAATTGAAGCTAATTTAAAGATTTTTTTTTTTGCACTGCAGAAGTTGATATGCACTAAAAAACTGCCTTACTGGCAAAGTGGATTAACATATAGTTGTGGAACTGTAATACTAAAATAATCACAGCTGTTTGATATGTAAATGTTCATCATGACCTATAGTCTTGATTCACAGTTTTCACATTTGAGTATCCATGTCTTAGAATGTTTACTTTTAAGATAATATTTACAGGATGAAGCCAACCTGATATTATCTGAAAAATTTATACAATTTTTACCACCATGCACTATATGGTCTGATTTCACTCCCGTTTAGTTAACAAGATTCTATCCTTTGAGCATCCTAGAACACAGGAAAACAGATGGTGGGGTTTTTCCACTAAATTCTGTTTTCCTTAGTTTTCATGCACTTCCTCAAAGCAGAATAATTTTTTCAAAACTGGACTTGGAATGTCCCTATACAGAAGGAAGCTATTCCAAATTCAAAGATTTATTGTAACTTCTCCCTTTAATTTTTAGACATAAGGTATTAAGTTTTAAATTAAAAATTCAAGGATTTTAATGATATCACTCCTTTGAAATTCTTATCACATGAAGATTTCACAAGTAATACATATTTAACTTTTAAAATTTCAAACTATCAGGCAAACAATAAGCAAGATCAGAAATCTTTTTTTTTCTTTTCTTTCTAATATAACTCAAGATGTAAATCCTTATTTTAAAGTACATACATTTGATCACAGATACAAAAAAGGATGAAGAAAGGAGAAATATATGCAGAGCAAAATAGTTATACAAATGTTTAGCAATCTCAGAAAACCATAACTAACGTAAACCAAACCTGGGTGATTCCAACTCTAACATCTCTGCTGACTGAACTGGTCCCTTTCAACATATCGCCACTGGCTCGTAGAAATCCACAACTTCCACGCAGAAATCCAGTTCCCAGTAGCTCCATCACCTCTTCCAAAGAGATTCTGCGGAAGTTATGCTTGGTGGACACTAAGAATAGATGTAAATCTTTAGAGGAATAGCTCTAAAATCTTGATACCTTTTAGAAGTAGAGAGGTTCAACTCTCATTGTGTTAGAAAAAATAATTTGCATTGCATAAGTTCAGTAGCACAATCAAATCCAAATACGGTTTAACTTCATAACAGAAACTAAGATATTTTAGGACTCAGTGATCCAGCAAACCACAACATTTATCAAGTTTTTCTCCTTTAGCTACCTTTAAATAGTCTAAGCCATTGTATGCACACTTATATTTACCCACCCTCAGTATTTACCATCTATGCTCCCTCTGCAGAAAGCTCTGTGTGATCTACTCCTACCACTCAAAGTTTCATGGAAGTCCTGACTAACATATTCCAGCTTTCCACCAAAGACAACCTCTATTCCAAAATTCAGAGGGCTGGATTCCTTTTCTGCTATGCTTAGCCAGGTAAGGGTACAAATACAGGTTCTCTTACAAACAAAAGCAACTCATCTTGGCATTAAGCTAGCTCTTTGAAAGAATGAGAATAACAAAAAACAGCTAGGAAAATTCTTTATCCCCAATTCCTATTCCATTGCTTTATTTCTTTACTGAAAGTTCATTTAAAATACATACTGGGACATGTCTGCAAACAGCATGATGACAGCACACAACACAAACTAAGTGACCTAAAACTTTCACTGCATTTTTCATTCTCTTGAAAGCATTGAAATGGGAAAAGAATGAGAGGATTCAAGATAATTATGTACAGAAAAAAAAAGTAAACAACTCAATATCAGCATGTCATCAGATACAATACATAAACTTCAAGACTATGAACTCCTTCATTTGCTCCCTCCACCTCTCCCCCCAGCCCCTTCTAGTCCCCACCTAGCTTCTGTCTCACTTAGTTGTAACTTCTTTTTAACTAAAAATAACTCAAATAAGGACAAAACTCCTTGAAACAGCCAATGAAATAATTTATAAGCTTCTTATATAACTTTATCTTAGTACTTTAGAAATAACAACTACGTTTCTTACAAAGATTAAAGAAAACCATTGAATCTACAAAGAAGTCAGAATATTATATTTTTTTACTTTATTGAGAAAAGATAAGTGCTGTTTCCTGTAACACAGTAATACTCTCCAAAAGATTCTTAGGAAAATACTTTATAAATCAAGACTTCAGACTCTACAACGCAAATATACACCCTCAAGTATTCTGAAAGACAGTAAGTTGGGCTTAAAGGCATGTGATTTTGTCATTTGCTGCTTATTGCACTGAAGGTTTACTCTGATGCCATTAAAAGCAGAACAATCAGTCTGAATCACACTTATTCTGCATCCTGTTATATTTTGCTTAGATTATAGTTAGATACTTAGCTTTGGGCTTCTAAGATTGGACTAAAACCACCTAGTCTGAATGACACCAAATATTAGAGATGTTAACTTTGTGCTAGGATGCTTCAGTTATCTCAAGTACTGTCTGTCAGCAAAAACTGCTACATGGTTGTTATATGAACAAAACTGCATGCTAATTTCTGCTTCTGATCATATTAGTACTGCTGGACAATCTCAATGTGATACTGATTAGTGCAGAAAAATAGCTTGAAAGTATCCTTAACTTTTTTGTTTGACACAGAGACACTGCCTCAAATCTTGGTTCTTTCTACACTGCTTAAATTAATCTTGCCTTTAAATTCCTCAGGTTACTAATTTCTCTCCACAGAATAACAATCTTATAATAGAGAAAAATAGTTTTACCAAATACTTTTCCTTGTTTATTATTTTATAAATAAATAAATATATATATATCTCCCACCAAAAGCATAGCACTTCAGAAGAAAAAAGTTACAGAAAAGACCAAACCAGAGATATAAACAGCCAGATGAAGCTTTAATTGTGATTTTTACTTCAGGCTTCAATAGAATTTGAGAATTTCTTATCGTCTAACAAATTTTTACAGGTGAGGACTCAGCAAATAAAGTATATACTTTACCTCTTGTCTGCTTAGACGTTAGAGCTCTAGCCAATACTGTGCCTAAAAGTTTTGAAACTGCTAATCGTACATCATAGTTGGAACCTTCAAAGGATTTAAAACATAAGGTCACAACACTATCCAGGTCTGTAGTCCACATAAATACTGCTTCATCCTGAAGTTCAAGAAGACACTAGACAAAAAAAAGGGAAATAAAAGTGTTTCAACACGGGAAAGTAGTCAGTAAAAATTTTAATTTGGTACAGAATAGACAGAGTTCTTCCTAACAAAATAAGCATGTTGCCTCATACTAAAATTACTTGGGTTTTGCTGCCAAGGTAATATTAAAGAAATAAAGATAAGCAAACAATGTATTTACTGCTGTGTTCATCACCCATTAAAACAGAATTTTATTTAGGGAGTTACTTAATAAAAACAGCTATTAGAGTGGTTTACCTTTGCAGCAGCACAGCGGACTGCCATGGATCGATCTGTCAAACACGATCGGGCAGCTTTGTAAACATCTCTATGACAGGGGATAGCAGCAGCTCCTAAACCATTTAATATATTTTGCAAACTAAGCATGATTTCATAACGACCTTGAGACTGAAAAATGAAAAGGAGAAATGTTAAAATTTTGTAACCCTAAGATCCTTGGAAATACAAAATGCCAATTACTGAAATAGGCAAACAGTGGTTGGGTCTTTTAGACTTTTAGAGATCTATTTATGCTGAAGCAAGTTAAAGCAGATAACTTGCCCTAAAACTCTATAAGCAAATGAAAACAGTAATTCTATGTTCCATTGAAAAATACCAAATAGAAGAACAAAACTCAAAACAAAGTATGAGCTATAGCAAAAAGGTTCTCATTAATAACGCAATTAAATTTTCTAATTTTCATGAAATCAGATTGAAAAAAGCTACAATCCATCATTTTTTAGTTGCTATCCATTAACTCGTTATTACTTCTTTGGAATTTAGACACTGATTTTTATCTGACTTTCCATGATTTTTTTTCATGAATTGGTATCATGCATTTTTTCTTACTCATTGGTCCAGCTACCAACAGTAAACATCCTGTTATTTTTCCAATCATTTTTTAAACATGCTGTTCCAATACCTCTGCATTCTTCATTGCTTTAAGCACATTCCCAACGGTGTCAGTAAAACTGTTTCCCAAAATTCTTCCCAATTTTTTGTATAAATAGCCCAAGCATACCACCGCAGCACTAAAACAAAAGCAAATCCAAAGACGTGTGAAAATGGATGCAGTAAGAGATGAAAGGGATTAAGAGACTAACGTAATCAATGGGCAAACAGCAAAATAACTGAACAGAACGTCCCAAAAACATAAGTGGATTATGAAAAGGGAAAAACAATGGTCTGTGTGTGGTACATACCCTCTACGAGAAATGCAGATACAAGGGTTGGGAAAATAACTTACACAATACAAGAATTCAGGTAAATACAATCTTCTAATAAATTTTAAAATAGGAATAGGGTTTCCATATCCACTTTTAAAACTTATCTAATTTTTTACCAAGCATGCTCTGTGTCATGCAGTCTATGGCACTCTGCTACAGCAGATGCTGCCAGAAGTAGTCACACACAGGTTTACTTACAACTTGATGGCCAATAGTAGACTGCAAATGGTCTAGTAATTGCAATTGTGTCATTTATGTGTAACATTACATAAGAAGGAAATAAAACTATAAACCCACGTCCTTTTCATCCTGGTGAAATATCTGACAGCTGGACTCTGTGTGCTCATTGGCCTCTCCAGTAGCAAAAGAAAAAATTGCTAATATTGAGCAAAAAAAAAAAAAAAAAAANAAAAAAAAAAAAAAAAGAAATAAAGAGTTGCCTAATGAAAGAATGTTTTCCTTTGAATAATTACTTAAGGAAAACACTTTGCTTTTGTATTGACAGATCTATAAATTAAACCAATTAGTTTTATGACTACAAGGAAAAAAAGAAATTATCTCTTTAATCAGCTTTCAGCTCTTTGGCTTAACCTACTTAAATATGCATACATTGCTCAGCATCCCCTTCAACAAAACAACATTTTGCTTATTCCCCAACTGCATTCAAGTTTCACATAAGTGACACAGCACAATAAGAAAAACAAAGCCTCCTTTCTCTCTTAGCATACCAAAATACTATTTTCATTAAAAAAGCATTTTGCTTTTATTCAATGCAGTACACACCAACAGTTTGGATTTTAATTTTGTTCCTGGTGTGCCTGGGCATAAAATTACAGTTGTCCCATCTTACTACTAAATTGAGCATCTGAAGGTCACAGATACTTTCTTTAATTAGCCTCAAGAGTAAATAACATCTATTTAATAATCTGAAGAAGGAAAAAATTAACAGACATATAAAAATCCCCAACCAAATAAACTACCTTATTACATCATGGTATAACCTGCAAACACTCTTAGAAGTTTGGCTGTACTGCCATGTACTGCTTCAGCGTCGCATGAAAGAGTCAATCAGTATTGAACAGTGGTTTCTAGCAACAGAGTGACCATACTTGTTGATAAGTAACATCTAGTCAACTAAAGATGGGAATCTAGTTACTTCTGCACATCAACATTTAAGTTTTTATGAAAGTTCAAAGCATAGGACTGAGGAAGCTCTCGTACCTGCCTTCTAGGATTGCATCACGGCTCTAGTTGTCTATTTTCTTTTTCCACAAATGTTTCTTCACTAAGTCCGAACTGTACTAATTGTGGAGTTACTTTAACTGTCAAATTGTAAGCAACAGCCAGAAGTTTCCAAGGAAGCCTGTAAATTTTTACAAGTTTTGCAGGGAAAAGCCTCTCTGCCCCTGTTTCTGCCTCCCTAGCAGCACACCTCCATCTTCACACACAACTCTCTATGAAAGATACATCTAAATTGTTTTCTCTTAAATTTTGCCTTAACAATTGTACTTGGAGAGGCACCAACAAAAATCCAGAGCTAAGATACTCAAACATGTGGTAAAATAGCACCGAGATAAGCTATAAAAGTTTGCAGACCAGGCAAATGCTTATAGTTTAAAAGCAGTCCTTGTCAATATTTCAAAAACTTCATCATTTAAAGTTAATTAATAAGTTGCATTCACACTGCATAACCTGTTTATCTGATTTGGTATTGTATTCATATCACACTGACTTTTAGTAGCAGATAAGCACCTAGCTAAGGTTATGTTTAAAGTGCTTGCCTAAAATATTTCCATCAAAGAAGAAAAGTAATCATTTATTAGATAAGAGAATGATTCACTGGAACTGTATTTAAAGGAGTTCCCGGGTGTATTAACATATTGTGAACACTGATGGTTAAGTGTTGCTACGAGACAGCAAGGGCATGTATGCTAAATAAGGACAGATGGCAAACAAAGACAACACTTTAATCAAGATCAGGCAAAAAAAAGCAATTTTTCTACACTGAACACCAAGTATTTAATATATTTGCAACCGAAGATGAAAGATTTTACTCAGTAAACAGCTCTGTGGTTCCAATTATTTTTGTGTAGCCTCAGCCTCAGTGTCAGCTGTATCAGAAATACTTTTTCCAAAACTTTTTTGAATTAAACCATATTTTACCCTTACTTTTTCTGCCATCTCTTATTTCCTCTCCTCACTACTGCTTACATACCCAGGAGCATTCTGAACAATGCCACCTCTCTCTTTCTCCCCCAGTTACTTCTCTGCGTTCTGACTCTGGATATCTGCCATTACTGCTTTACTGCCAATGGACTCCATCATCCCTCCTTGCTATGCCGACATCCTCCCACTTCCCTCTGGCATATTGCAGCTGAAGCAAGGAAGACCTGCAGAGCTCTGTCCTACACTACAACTCAACTATAAGGTTAATGGCATATCATAGTTGAGAATGTAGTATAGCGTAATTTATTCTGCAAGACTTAGACCCTTTATAGCAAACTTATTCTTAACTCAAAAGACTGCACAAGAGGTCACCTGGAACAAGAGGGAAACAAAAAAAATTATGGTATTGGAAAATACAACTGACTCCTTGCAAAATTTATTTTCAGAAATCTTGACTTGGGTTGTCAGAAACAAATTTAGCATGCAAAGTAAAGGAGGAAGACATATTCTGCTCTGCTTTCAATACCATATCATTAATGCATGATGATGTTTTACTATCTCTACCTTTACCTTTAATTTTCTTCATTATAGTCAAAGATGTGCATTGTTTCAGGAATGAAGGTTACTTACAACATTTCTGCACATGAAGATTTGGTTTCACATTCTGAAGTAACAGTTGATGTTTCTCTGTTCCGTAGGCTAGGCTTCAGGCGTTTAGTTACAAACATTTTTAACTATGTCCAGTTTCCCAATTGGATTAAGAAATGTACTCAGTAACTGTATTTTGTACCTGGAGTTGTAGTTGTCTGTTTCACTGATCTCAGCAATATTATTCCCTTCTCCTTGTTTTTCAAACAGCTGTGCCCTCATAACTCTGTTATCCATCGCTGGTATCTCCCCAGCCTGATTTTCAACTGTCTGGCTGGAGACCACCAATTCTCTTCTACTCTTTTGGTTCCTGATGCACACATACAATATCTAGCACTAGCACGATCTTTGTTTTATTATGTATCTTATGGTAGTGAATTCAGATGCAGCTCACCATGTCAATCTGTCTCTCTTGTTATTACTGAATTTGAAGTTTGGGATTAAAAAAATACTTACAGTTTTGTAGGCAGATAACTTGGTGAGTCATCTTTACTCCGAATGAGTTCATTGCATTTGTCAATTGTTTGGTAAACAGAAAAAGTGTCTCCAGTGCTATAAATTACAGCTAAATTCTTGGCAAGAAGCCGTCTGGTAGGAGGTCCTGGTGAATTGTTTAATAAAGAAGTCAATTGTTCGACCAGTTTCTTCTGGTTTTCCCTTATATCAGCCTGGAAATAAAATCCGTTAAATATAATAAAATAAAATATAATAAAATATAATATAATATAATATAATATAATAAATAATAAAATCAGTTAAAATTCAGTTAAATTTAAAAGTTAGTTAAAGATAATTAATGTAAATTATCTTTACTTTTCATTATTACCATTCTGATAATGACATTCCTAATTACAAATGAACATTTACTTCATTTTTATGCTTAAAGAAAAGACATTTTAAGTATGTGACTATTTTATTCTTCTTCTTAAAAAAAACTCAACACGTTTTTCAGAGCTACTATTTCTAGTAGCATTGCAAGTGTATTTTCCTATGGCATTTATATACTTATATCTTTCTAAAACAAAGTTTCCTTTTCTTGCTTTGCCTGCTTTAAAATAAAACAATTAATAGATATATAGTAATTTTAGTAGCAAAGAAGAACTTTAGCCATGTTTCAAGAACCTTAGTATTAGAAAGGAAAGAACTTCCCTTAAAACAATCATCCTGTCTTAAATAAATTATTTGAATACTCTTTTAAAAAAATAGTGTGGCACCATATTTCATTTACATATTTTCATCACAAATAAAAACACTTAAATACCATTATTTTGGTTGATTTACTCTTATATATCTACACAATCAACTTAATATACTCTAAACAGTGAACTAATCAATTGGAGAGTTGGCTGGAAACAGATCTTTTATCATTTGATTAGGAAAATTTAAAAAAAAAGAAGAGAAAGATGTTACTTTCTTGCTTGCTAGAGAACTATCAAATAATTGTGCAATCCCAGGTGGAAGCATGACTGACATTCTTCACAATGGGGCTGCAAAATCTTGCAGCAATAATATGAATTAAAAATAATTAAAATTCCCTTCATTGGACAAGTGGCTCTGTCACTTGAAGGGCTGTGACCAAATTCTTGTAACATTTCGAAAGCTGCTGCTAACACTAAATATACTTTCATTGCTTGTAAATGAAAGACATGAGGCAAATGAAATTGAGTACTGCTCTTTGGTTTTAAACAAAATAACAAAAAGACAGAAAGAAATAACCATATAACGTGATTTTCTTCTCAAATCTCATTATACTTACTCTGCTAGTCACTGGTAAAAGTTTTTCCAAATACTGTAACCACTCAAAAATGAACTCTGCTTTTTGAAATCCACCAAGCTGGTTATACACTTCTTCATTAAGCAACAAACTGTGAGCTAACTCCATTCCTTGAAATTTTCCTCAAATCTCTCAAACACTGTGGAATGAAAAGAAAACCCAACAAACTGCCGAAGCTGTGTTAATCAGTCAGGTTTTCTTCCTCATTAATATTTGATGAATCAGAAGTTTGAACAGCTAAACAGAAAAAGAAAAAAAAAGTTAATAGAAAGTCAATGATCATATTGTATTATATTTATGCTTGGTTTATTAAAAGAAAATTTTCAAAGGAAAACAATATAAAAAATAAATTATAGCAGTTTTATGTAGCGATCTTTAGTAAGACTTAAGTTTTTTATATGAGATAATGGTATTGGTGTAAAACGCCAGCTAAAGTTAAATATACTTCAGAATATATCAGTGGGGTTCTCACTGAACTTCTGATTTTCCTTCTCCTTGTTTTGCAAGAAGTGAAGTTTTCTAGTCTTTATCATATATATACCTGAAAGTAATGACCAACCCAAACATAATGACTTTGCTATCTAGAGCTAAGTGTAGCAATAGCCTCAACCTACACATAACAGACTCCTTTTAATTATATTCATAAATATAAATGTTAACATATTAATTCAAACACTTTAGGTATTCTCAATGCCAAGCAAGGTATAAAAAAAATCCAGAATTTCATCGCTGAACAAACCTCTAATACACTCTTTTTTTATGGGAAAAAACCTCAAAAACAAAAGAAAACACCCAAACCTGAAAAAAAAAACCCCTCAGAAACTCGAAATCCAAAAAGAAGTTATGTTTTACTTATGTCTCTCAGACTACTTTTGGAATTTCTACGTTTAAATGCCATATAGCCTCAAAATACAAAATAGAATACTCTGCAGGCTTCACAAACAAAAGTAGTCAGGGAGATTCTGGTTAAAATATGGTCAACTATATTTTAAACTCAAAAAAAGTTATCCTTTTCAGAGGTCATTAAGACTGCTGAACACATTTTTTCCTATGTAGTAACAATATTATAGTGTAAAATGATCCGTCAAACTGTAAACAGCAATATAAAGCACTGGTAAATAATTCAATACTCAGGTTGTCATCAAATGCACAGCAGAAGGTTACTATTTTCTATGCATTTTTATGTAAAAGTAACTCACAGAGAAAATTAGTTGTATTATATTTACTGTAGTGAACTGTCACTCCAAATCTACCTGAAATACCAAGCCACTTGAAAAGGTACCACACTATAAAATTATGTGCAGATATAAATACACATAACACATTATACTTATATAATATACATATATTACATATTATATACATTATACATATATATACATATTTTATCTAACTAGGTACACAGAAGTTCATAATTTACCAGTTATGTCGCTCCTAGAACATTCACGGAATTTAGCTCTATCCTCACATTTTTTGCAACATACAAAAAAAAGTAGGATTACATATTTCACTGAGTATTTGAGTGGAGTCTCATCACTACTCAGCATGAAAATTACAGGTACAGGTCACAAATCCGTCTTTTTTTCCCTCACCCAAGGTATGTCCAATGTCTACCATCTCTAAACCACCTACTACCACAGTAACTTATCCACTTAACACATGCAGCTCAGGATTACAACTCGTAGCTGTTTTTCCCAACGGAAAAGATCATAGTTTGTAACCAGACATGGGCACTTAACTTACCTAGAAGATAATTTCTCCTCATTGTAAAAACTATCTCTCTGCTGCTTCAGGTTTTTGGATAAAGGATGTTAAGAACTTGATTTCCTAGGAAAATAATTAATACAAAGATCAACTTCAGGAAAGAAAGCACATGAGATACAAGTGTAGCTTCTACAGAAAACAAGAATTCCAAAGTCTTGCAATACTGAAAATTTGTATTAAGTGATAGCTCACCAAAAAAGACTGGAGCTCCATAAATATTATTAGCTCTCTATATGTTACACTTAAATTGGGCAGATGCACCATATACACCATGGAATTGGATTCATTTAACTACTGAAACTGCCTTTGTTATTTGTTTTGTTAACTTAGTTTAACTCTAAACCATAAAAAAAGTAAGTTCAAACAGCATAATACAAGAGTATTTCAGTGCTTTCATAAGACCTACATTACTTCAATATATCTAAAAAAGCAGAGGTGCAAAATATTCATTATATTAGTCTGGAATGCTATAATAAATAGCCATAAACAACATGATAGCATTCAAGTCAAAACCAACAACCAGCAGAGCTGGCATAGGTGATTCATGTGTTCTGAAAAATTCATGTACAATACTATGGATACAAGACATGAGGATTATCAATCCATTCTCCTAGCTCCTAGATATAGTTTTAATGTAAGAACCCATGGGCAAAACATTTCCTTCTAAAACTCATTCAACTTGAACTTATTCTGGCAGGACATGAAATAGAGGTTGAATGTGAATACTTTATTTAAAAACTATTCACTTTTTAATCAGTCTTCAAATGACTGATGTTGAAAACAAATCAAAAGTGTATGTAGATTTCAGAATAATTCAAACTTCTTTCATCCTGGTGAACCAGTGATCAGCCTGCTGAAGAGAAGGTTCAAGGGAACCTTAAGAAATGCCTTCACAAGGGAAGATTATCAAGCAGATGAAGACAGGATCTTTATTGAGGTGTATGGGAGGGAATAATATAAAAGTGGTATAATTAAAACAAGGAAGCTTCCATCTTGATAGAAGAAAAAAGATTTTCACTGTAAGGATTATCAGCCACTGGGATTGGTGATGACAGGTTGCAGAATCTGCACCCTCAGGGGTTTCTAGCACTTGACTGGACAAAGTTATTTGAAGCTATTATTGTAAGTTGTTTCTAAATGAAGACTGTTCAATTGTCTGGGTTTTTGGTAGCAGGGTGCTACATAGGGTGGTTTCGCTAAGAAGCTGCTAGAAGTTCCCCCCCCAAGTAAGCCAAGGATAGCTGGCTACCAGGAGGGACTTCCTGCCGCCGGCCAAGGCCGAGCCAATTAGGAGCAATAGAAACGTCTCTGTGATAAAATATTTAAGAACAAGTTTGTTGCGCGAAAGAATTTTCGAGCCACGGGAGAGCTGACCAAAGCTCCTGGGCAGTCCCGCCGCCTCCCCCGCTGTGGTGGCAGCCCAGCCCGGGCCTCTTGGCACCTACCCCGGAGCAGGCAGTGGAGCCCCGGCCGAGCTGCCCATGCTGCTCTCGGCAGTGCCGGCCGAGCTGAGCAGCGGCCCCTGCAAAGGGGCGGTCAGGGCTGGGGCCAGGGCGTGTGGCCCCACAGAGAGTCTTCGCAGCGCCCCGGGCCCGCCTCGCGAGCAGCCCGTGCTGGAGCCCGTCCTGCCCGAGGAGCCGAACAGCACTGACAGCACCAAAGCCTCCAAGGCAAACTGCGAGGGGTGGAGGGGTTGCCCCGCGGGCTAGGCCAGGGCGGCAGAGTGGCCCCTGCCAGCGGGCACTGTCCTCCCTTCCCCCCTGGCTGAGTCGAGCCAGGCTGGGCCAGGGCAGCCCGCTGCGGTGCAGCCGAGCCCATGCTGGAGCAGATGGATGTATGGAAGAAGGCCGTTACCCCCCATGGAAGGCCCAGGATGGAGCGGAGTCCTTCAAGAGACTTGTGGCTCCACACCGGAGCAGGTTATTCCCAGGTAGGACTCGCGGCCCTGTGGGGGATCCACATCGGTGCAGCTCACCCTATGAAGGACCATTGGGGTGAAGAGACCCCCCCCCCTGCACCCCATGGAGAAGTGACCCTCGGGACAGTAGACATGGAAGAACTACTGCCTGAGGGGTGGAACCACGTTGGAGAGGTCCATCAAGGACTGTTACCTGTGGGAGGGACCTCACGGAGCAGGGGAATCACTCAGAGCTGTGGCCCCCCCATAACCTGTGGTGAGGACCATGGTGGAGCAGGCTGTCCCCCTGTAGCCCATGGAAGAGTGACCTACAGGACAGCAGATTTGGAAGACCTGTTGCCCGAGGGGTGGACTTGTCTCCCTGCACTGCTGCAGGGGGAGGAGGGAGAACATGGAAGGAAGGAGGGGTGAGTGGAAAGTGTGTTTAAGATTATTTTATTTCTCACTCTTTAGATCTTATCCTGTTAGTAATAAATTTTAGTATTAACCCCACATTGAGTCTGTTTTGCCTGTGTGACCTCTCCCAGCTCAGAGCGACTTTAGTGGGTGCCTAGAATCTGGCCAAGGTCAACCCACAACAACACATTTGCAAAAATAATCTAGATTTATTTATTTTTTAGTTTAAATTAAAGAAAGAAAAACTGTTACGGTATAGCTGCTGATCTTTACAACGAACCCCTGCTAACAAGGTCAGAAAGGCGAGCATTTCTCACAGGAGAACATTACAAAGGCTCACTGTTTATTATGCAAGATTTAGTTTTGTAGACACAAAACTGGACATGCAGTAAAAAGAAAAATTTTTAAAAAATCACAGAGCTGATCTGGTCAACAAGCAAACCTTGGTTCCATGAAACGGCATACAAATCAGTAGAACCCCTATTCCATGCAAAAAACTTATCCCTAACACTTACTGAGACTCCCTCTAACAAGAGTAAGTCTGCACACCAGGGACACTGATGAAGCTTCAAAAGTAACAATAAAAAAAGGGCATATGCATGCAAACTTGTGAGAAGAAAGCCAAGAATGTAGGAAATTAAGTTTTACTTATTTTTATTGGTTTTGCAGCCAGAGCAGAGAACAATGCAGAAGGCAGACTGCTTACAAGCCTATGTAAAGCAGAACACAAGCACAGAACACAGGGATGAGCTACATTTGATTAATAATAAATATGTCCTTGTTATGTATGCAAGATGTTACCAGGCAATTTCTAAGTGCAGAAGAAAACATCAAACCAAAACACACACTGTCCAGACATGGGTGGGACTGTGCCCAGCTCAGAGGCGAGGCACAGCCACGCAGGGGGCCAGGCAAGCACGGTGGAAGACTGAATGTCACATCAGCCACTGCAGCTTTTGGAACGTCATCACATGCCAATGAATCGATGCGAGTGCAACCTAAGCATGTAAAGATGCATCTATATTTACATGAAACTCATGTTTAGAAATGTTGAATTATTTGATAGTGCCTTTCCCCTGGTGTTACAATTTTGATGCTTCTCAATCTGAAAAAAGAAATCTGGGAAAAAAAGTGTGAAATTTAATTGAATGAGATGTATACTATGCCATCGACCAAAATGAAAAGGTATACATGGCTGATAAAATCTTCATTTGCCAACTAGCATGAAGCACCATGCTTTTGGTTTTGTCTTTAGGTAACTGAAGAAATTACAAGAATTATTTTACCACCGGTGCTACAAGAACAGATCAATCAAAAATCCCTCTTTTTTTCCTATGGTGTAGGTTTATTTTGCATTTACAGTATGCAACAAAACTGTCAGAAAGATTTACTGGACAAGGCAGAAGGTGTTCCTACTTATTACTGATGAAAATTTTTTTCATTTATTGATGGAAAATTTGGCAAGCAGGATTGTTCAAGACGGGTCAGAAAAGAGCTCAGAAAAGCTCTTAGAACAACCTCTAAACAGAATGTCACCCTGTAAATTGAAAGAATATAGGGTGAGTCAAGTATTAAAAGGCAAAAGCATTTCAGTTTCTGAAGTTCCTGACAGACCACAGTGAGAAAAGAGGGACCTGTAGTATTCTTTAAATACAGGGTGATTCATCCAGGATAAGACTGATCTGAGTAACTGCCTTTATCAACCATCTTTCAAATACAAGAACCAATGGATCAGCCATGACAAAATTATAACAGACAAAAAAACCCAAACAGATCTATTATGTTTATCAAGTTCATTCTGAGCTAGGTAATCTCCTCAGGTTTTAAAATCTGAGGGGAGCAGACCATAGACTGCTGTATTTCTTTCACATGGACATCTAAGACAAAAACTAATCATCATGGCAAGGCTTCAAGAACAAAGATTTGGGGAGGGCTCTACCCACACTTGCTACAAGTGTGCTGGTGGCTAAAAGGGCCAATACAAGATAGAACAAAAACTAATACACAACCAGTGAAAAGCTATAAGCAATAGTGGCAATAATTTTTACTTTCCCCCTTTCTTCCACCTCATAGCATATCTTGCATATATATAAAAAAATAAAAAGCAAAAAAAAAAAGGTAATCTGCAATAAAGCAAACTCCTAACTGATCTCTCACTAAAAGAAAGCTTTTAAATTATGACTCATTATTTCAAAGAAGAGCAACACAAGTAATGGAAACTACCACACAGATCAAGTATGTATTTACACATTTATTTTCTTTCAAGACTTTTCATATTTGATCTCTCACTCTTCCAGCAGTTTGTCTCTTTTCCAGGAACAAGTGCTCAAACAGAAATCAGATCAACCTCAGCTCTGTAGGCATGACACTCAGGATCTAATGCACAATCTAAACAAGGGTCCAAGTCCTTTACATCTACTATGCAGTGAAGAAAATAAAGTGTCATTTATCTTAATAATAATTATTTATATTTTTCTAGTTTCAATATTAACATAATTCTGCATTAAATCTGACCTAAAGCATAAAGATAATCACAGAATCACAGAATCAATTAGATTGGAAAAGACTTCTGAGATAAAGTCCAACCTTTGACCAAGCACCAAGACATTAACTAGACTATGGCACCGAGTGCCACATCCAGTCTTTCCTTCCACACCTCCAGAGACGGTGACTCCACCACTTCCCTTGGCAGTCTATTCCAATGTCTAATCACCCTTTCTGTGAAGAAATTCCTCCTAATATCCAACCTAAACCTTCCCTGGCACAGCTTAAGACTGACTTTGTCCTCTTCTCCTGTCACTGGTTGCCCAGGAGAAGAGGCTGACCCCCACCTGGCTACAACCTCCTTTGTTGTAGAGAGCAACAAGGTCTCCCCTGAGCCTCCTCTTCTCCAAGTTAAACAGCCCCAGCTCCCTCAGCTGCTCCCCACATGTGACAATTTGAAGCATGGCACAGCTCAGGAGCTCACTGATATATCTGTGGATTCTAGCAGAGAAGTAAATGCATATTATGCTTCTAAGAAATTATCACTGTTACTCATTGCCAATAATGAGTAACAGTAAAAAAAGAGTAATGAATAACTGTAATGAGTAAGATCAAAAATGACCAGTAATAATAACCAGTGTTTTCATAACAGCTGCCATTGGGCTCAATATACATTCAACACCATAACCATCCCACTGCTGAAAAACAGAGCTGAAGCAAATTCATTAGCTTCAAGCTGTCCCTCACTGCACCGCAGCAGTATTTTAACTGACTTCAAATTCATGGTTTTTTCCTCAGAAAGCAAGATTTTTATCATCTATCTAACAAGTGAACTAATACATTCCAGAGAAAGCCTTCTAGCCTGACACATTTAGTTGTAGCCATTAACAGCTCAGATCAATGTTACTCCTGCAGCACTGTTTTAAAAGTTTAATGGGATGATCGTTACCAATGTATCTGAGCTGACTGCAGGGAGAGACATCGATGCTCAAGTCTATGTTAAGCCCTGGGACATACCCGTTTAGAGTGTCTTCCAAACATAAACAAAACTCCTGCCCAGCCCCCTTGGACTTACTTCTCACAAGAGAAACCGAGTATGATGGTCTTTGCCAGCTGGGCAGAAAAACCTTAAAGAACCAGCCAAATTCAGCTACTAATGAATGAAACATAGACCAAAATCCAATAGTTACAGTTTGTTGTTTATACTAGTAGGCAAACAGAAAGAGGCACTGAGGCCTGGAGAAGGCAAAAAGTGCAGGATGAAACTCCCAGCTGCTTTAAGTGGGAGACCTGATGGCCCAGGAAATTAAGAATTTAGTTATCTTTAGCTGTAATCTAGCTAGAATTTATAGTTCACAGAAATAATCTGCTTCAAATCAACAACAATGATAGAATCTCAGTAATTTCCTAAGGAATAAAAAAGAACTAAAATTCCAGCTTAGATGAGCCTGGAGTTTAGATACTGGAAATGGATTGAAGTGAGAACATTCAAGAGATAAAGGTGTTTATTATTACTGGAAAGACCAGGTAGTCTTTGTTTACTTTTTGACTTACACAAACTATCATCAACTAACTCACAGAAGCAAAGTCTGCCTCACAATCTTCAGTTAGAGTAGGTAAAGCTAAATAGAAGTGTCAGTGCATGTCAGTACTTCCAAATCTTTTGTGTGGCAGGATCCTCAGCATTCAGCTAACTTTTGCCTTCTTTATATATACACAAGCCTTAGCCTTAAACTTGGTGCTCCACAGAGCTACATGAAGCAATAGCAGGTAACTGCTGGTCCCAATTTAACATTGAGCCTTCTGTACATATTTTATGTTCAGCAGTGCTAATCACTCTTGGCCTCTCGTTTGACTGAAAAAAAACCCTGGGAATTTCATGTGCCCTTTCACAGCTTTCTCGTATGCATTTTCAAAGAAACACACAAGCAAATGCAGGGCATTTTAGCACCAAGACATGAAGAGGACGAGGGGAAAAAAGAGAAAGTTAACCCCCCTGAGAATTGTTTCTTTAGCAGAAGCATTGGTACATTTAATTGATTAAACCCTTGATGAGGAGGACAGTGAAGATTTTCTGAAACCAGAACCCAGTCTTTCAATGCATACACACATACTTGAATTTGTCACTGATTGGTCTCATCAATGTGGACCAAATTACTCCTTAGCATCAAACTGATAAGTGCTTTTCACCCAAAATTAATATAGTGCCAATAAGAAGGCCAGGTATTTAGCAGTGTTATCTTACATTGGTCAGCAGTAAGGAAAATTTGAAGCCAAACACAGAGAAGATGGGACAAATAGTCATGTTTGACAGCAGTTTGCAAGAACAGACCACAAGAGAAAGTCATCACAAGACTACAACTCAGAGGACATGGAAAAAGAACACCAGGACACAGGGGAGATGGTCCGAAATATTAAGATCTTTAAATCAAGCAGAATTGCAACTCTTAATATCAGATTTTAAGTGCATTAGCATGTGAAAAACACACCAAATAAATCCCACAGTTGAGTACTCATATGTTTTGTTGTATATTCTGTGTTATAGAGGGATTCAGTTCCACTCACAAATTAAATTATCTTCCTTTTTTAAAAAAACCCAGAACATCTACACACTTGCATCACATGCTTATCCCAAAGAGCAAAAAGCACTGAAGAATCTGTCTAACTACAAGCAGAAAAAGTAAAGCTTATTGCAAAACCATCCACTTCCTCTAATTATTTGTGAAGATTTCAGACTAGGACAACTTCCATTTACATCATATTTTTGTATGCAATTATTCAGATTAGAAACATGATTCTGAAATCATAACTGTTGAACCAAGATCCTATTCTTTCAGGCTTTCTGCTGTGCTCTGGGTGAAGCAATTTGCCCCAGGACAGTTATGTATCTATCCTCCCATTGAAAATTTGGTAGCATTTATGCAGGTAGTCGTTAAAGTTACAAGCCAAGTGTATCTTCATATATTGCACCTCCCACATATGTAGGTCTTGCTGTGTTCACACAGTGTTTCAGGCTGTCCTAAAGAACAAATATCATGCAGCCCAAACAGAATTATTGTTAGCTTCTCAGCTACTTTCATCTGTGTTGCAAAACAAAGAGGCTGTTTTGTGAACCATGATGCTCATACAAAGTACTTGTTTACTCCCACAGGAACAGTTCCAAACGACTGATTTTCCTACCAAAATGCTATTATTGATTTCCAAGTTTCAGAGGAGTTGCCCTTTATCTGAAAAAGTAATTAAGCTCAAAGGCAACAAAGACCTAACAGAAATCTATCAGAATCCTTGCTCTGGACTTGCTGGTTTTAAAAATGTTCACACAAAGAATGTGACCACCCACAACCTTCATACATAACAGTGACACTTATAAGAACTACAACACAATATACATTTGCTGAAATGTGAAAGAAATGACAAGACAATGTCTTCTAAGAATGTTGAATGATTTCTGTGAAGTTTTGAGGACAAGGCTTGAGGGAAAATTAGAGAAAAATACCCTGAAAAAAAGTGCCTGGAAATGCAATAGCTATTTCAGCAACGCAACATATTCAAGACATTTTAAAAAAAAATTGGAAGACATTTACTCATTGTGTTAAAAAGTACATACACTTTGCTTTCATGTTTCTTGTCATCACTTTAATTTTTATCTCCACATAAGAAGAATTATTCCAGGAAACCAAGAAGCAACAACATTCAGCTACTGAGAAATATAAGCCAGCCATTTCCTGAGCTCCACAGCAGCACTACTGGCACACTGTCCCCCTAGCCCTCACAACTCTCTAATATTATTTAGGTTCATTTCTGAAAGTTTCAGCCAAGAGATAGACTTGGCTCCATTACAGGGACCTTAGAACATTATTTTATTTACAGGTAACCTGGCAAACCACATATAAATAATTAACCAATGCTTCTAATAGTCATAAAAATGGTATAATATCTGGAAGTTTGATACTGACAAAATGAGTTTAAAAGATTCCCCCCCTCCCCAAAACTGGACTAACTAAACTTCGGAAAGCAATAACTAGCTTTTGTCTGATAAAAATTCATAGAATGCTTTGGGTTTATTTCTTTGCAGGTTTGAAAGCTGGTGTCATAGCAAAGCAAGTGCATGAAAAGCACAGAAGTATAAACATCCACCTAAATCCTACCAATAATTTCAATATATGTCTGAATATAGTTTTATTCCTGAGAACACTGTAGACAATACTGTTTATCTAATATAGACAAAAATACATCAAACTGAGTATGCTGACAGGGTGGGGTTTGTTGTTGGTGGGGTTTTTTATCACAATGACAGCAGTTTCAGGAAATGAAATTATTTGCTAAAATGTTAAATTGACTTACACTAGGTTATATATATGCATATGGATTATCCAAAGTGTAGGTTGATTTTAGCTACCAATTTTCCATTAAGGTAAATGCTGAATCCAGTCTAGCTTAGCATTAAATTCAGCCAAAGGGATTTTTTGCTGAACATACCCTGAAATCCCAGAAAAGTATACTTATTTTTCCTGAAAATTATTATAGCTATTACTATGACTAGACTTCAACTGCGCTGAAGCACACCAACACAGAAATTTAGCAGTAGGAGCCTCACAGATGCAGACTTTGCAGGAGACTTTTTTGGCAGATCAGAGGCCACTATCCAGGCATAAATTACTGACATACCTCAATGCAATTGTTCTTTCTCTAGGTATTTTACATGGCTGTTCCCCAAAGAAAACTCCAAAACAGCTCAAAAAATATAACTGCATAAAAATTTCATGCCTTTTTGGTCTGCAATGTCGATACAGACATATTTTGTGTCTTTTTAAAGGTTCTGCTTCCTTAAAATCAGTAAAAACCACATTAGTAAAAACTGAATAGAACAAACATCCCACAATCTGAATATGTTTTTGTGAGAACATATTTCTAACCTCCTACCTCATTAGGATGTTCTGAATTTTAAAGCAGACAATCATACTGCATTGATTAATAAAGTTTTTGATGTGTTGGGAAGTAGTCAGTCATGAAGTAGTCAGTAAGTTAGATATTTTACCAACTATAAAAACAATCCTATGTTCAATAATCAAGCACAAGTTTTCAGTGTATCGCTAGATTTAGTGTAACATCAAACTGGCTTCCGCCCCCCCACTTTATTTCATTGTATCAAACAATCAGGAAAAGAAACCCAAACTCCATTCAGCACACAAGCAGAAGTAATCTATCTGCTGGGTCTCAATTG